GAGGCAGGATTGTTTCATAAGCTCCATTCTTTGCGCACTGCAGGTCATCTTGGTGCTAATCGAACTTTCAAGAGTATAAGGCGCAGATTTTATTGGCCTGGTTTCAAAAGGGACATTCTCAGATGGTGCAAATTTTGCAAGTCTTGTGCTTCAACAAAGATGCTTTACGGAAGAAGACAGGGAGATTTGAAACAACTTATATCTGGAGCTCCTATGGAAAGGATTGCCATTGATTTTCTTGGACCATTGCCTGTAACTGAAAATGGAAATGAACACATTTTGGTTTTGTCGGACTATTTCTCTAAATGGGTGGAATGTTTTGCTTTACCAAATCAGCGAGCTGACACCACTGCTGATGCATTGGTTACTCAATTCTTTTCGAGATTTGGGGTACCAAGAATTCTCCACTCAGATCAAGGAAGAGACTTTGAATCAAAATTATTTTCAGAAATGTGTCAATTGTACGGGATTCAAAAGACTCGAACAACTCCATATCATCCTCGTTCAGATGGACAAGTTGAACGTTTCAACAGGACCATACAGCAGATGTTGAAAGCTTTTGTAAATGAGAATCGAAATGATTGGGACGACCATCTCCCATATCTTTGTATGGCATATCGCTCCACTGTACATGATAGTACAGGATATTCACCGAACAAGTTAATGCTTGGACGAGAAATCGAGATGCCTGTTGATGTTATGTTTGGCAAACCAGAGTCATCAACTCATCCTTGTTACACTGAGTTTGTCGAATGGTTTTCCTGTGCAACTGAAAAAGCTTTTCTTCATGCTAGGCAACATCTAAATGCTGCTGCAACCAGACAAAAGCGAAATTTTGATCTGGGTGTTAAACCACTTACTTTCCAGAGAGATGAATTGGTGTGGTATTATTATCCACCAAAGCATCGCAAGCTGAGTATTCCTTGGATTGGACCTTATCGAATTGTGGACTGTTTACCTAATCACTTGTATAGGATTCAGAAGAATTCGGGAACACGTTCTCGAATTGTACATGTTGACAAGTTAAGACCTTACCTTCATGAAGATGAAGAAGACAATGACATTGACTTAACTGGATTTGACATTTTACCTGATGTGGAACCTATTATGGAAAATAATGAGCAGTTGCTCATGATATTTTTGATGAATTACCTTTCTTTCAAGGCCAGACACTGTACCAGAAGAAGTTACAGTTGATGCGAACTCTGATAATGGCCAACGTACTAGGCGAAGGCCTAGATATTTGGATGATTACATTTGATTTGACTGTGATAGTGCTTTTATCACTTTAACAATTGATTGTTTTGATTTTAGATATACATTTCATTTGAGTGTACAGTTCTTTACATTTCTTCACATTTTTATGGATTTTCAATTTTGAAGATGGAAAATTTCTTTGTAATTTCCCATCTGAAAAAGGGGGGAGTAATGAGACGACCACGTCTATAACTCTGTTTTATTCTGTATGCCCATATTTATTCTTACCACTTGAGTCACTAGTGAGCAGTGTCTCTTTCAGCTGGTTTGTCAGACTGCCGGCAGTGTAGATATTTCCTCTGTATATTAGGTTATTATTATAGTGTTTTAATGCCGTAAATCTATGTAATTCTTGTTGTAAAATGATATTAGTAGTACAGGTTTACTATTTCTCCAGTTTGGCATAGCTCTGTTCACTAGTTAGCTTGTATTTAACACTTCCGTAACTAGTCTATTTTCGCAGTTTATTTCCTGTGTGATTTCTATGCGTATTTCCATGTATATTACGTGTTTGTCGATAAGATAGGATTTGTGTTGTATCTTTAGTGTCATACTAGTTATTCTTATGTATATCTAGGTATGTTATGTTTTTTACCCGGTTTTTAGTATCCCATTATAAGTAAATAGTTCATGACTGTGACGTCATAGACCAATTCCGTATCTTGTGTTACGTATGTATCCTACGGTATTTGTACTGTGTTTTTCATGTTTTTATTTGTTTATTGTATTTCTTATTGGAGTATTTGGTTGTATTAAGTTCTTACAGGTGTATAATTAATCTAGTTAGTTAACTTAGTTACTCTGCTGTATTTGGAACCGCAAGAAGATTACTTTGTGATCGACATCGATAGCAATTACAACGTCCAAGAAGCTGGCAGAAAGAACCTGAGTGGTGATATCAATTTTGGTACGCCACAGTATGCTGGTGACACAAAGAGATACCAAACGTCAGGACAAATGTAATTGAAAAAACATTGAGTTTATACTGTAGTATTTTTGTTAATTTTGAGTCCATATATTTAGATTAAGTCATTTTTAGTGTATGTATTATTCTTTCCTTATCCAAAGCTTGTTCAAAAATGATTTTGATGGTTGTATAAGGAATTTTATGATTTTTTGTAATAAATACAGTAACTTGCAATAATAGTGGAATGCAAATATTAATATGTAATTGCATTTGAAATTAAAGAAAATAATAAAACTTAATCAACTGTTTAGTTGCATCACTATATATGTCACAAACTAAAACTTTCTGAAAAACATATCTTTCAAGAATACATTATCAAAAAGTGTTTTCGGCCCTTTTTACAATTTCCAAAATGCAATGCGGCTCTCGAAAACCCATGCGTTTGACACCACTGATCTATTCTAGACAATTCAAGCATTGCTTTGGGAAATAATATCACTTCAATTAAATTGAAAAAAATCTCGCTACATAAATACAAAATCGTTGCTATCATAAAGGTAAACCAATTCAGCCACTCGGAATATATTGGCCTTCACAAAGCAATGGAGGCAAAATTGAGAGTTCGTGAGCTATGAACTTTTGTTCTTTTCTTTGTCTTGAACTTTTCATACTCCACAGCCCCTATTAATTTTTTTTTAATTTTAATTACCATGTGATGGTCATACATATCTTTAACTTGTATTTTCTGTCATGATGTATTATCTCAATGTGTCAAACCGTAGTAGTATATATTTACGGTCAAACTTTTAAATAGTGTGCATATTTTGCTTCCAGAAGACATAAATGTACAGTATTTTCTTGTTTATTACCTCGGCTTGGAGTATTGACAAGAAAAAGGTGCCCGTAAAACTCTTTGTTATAATCAGAATTCACAATTAATAGGAATCATAAACAGTCAACATTCAATGAGAATTATAGGCCAAATCCCTCAGAATAACCTACTAAAGCAAATTCGATAGGTGCAAACTAGTGTTATGGAATTGTATCACAGCACCGTTAAGAGAAGTAAAAACAATTTTGCTGTTTTGTATGACACTCTCTTTAAATGAAATTTCAATGTTTAAGCGCAAACATTAAAATTACTAACTTTGAACTTTGTCATTATCTGCAAAATGTTCCACAAAATCTTTACGCTATCGCGTTTGTAATCTTCTCTGATAAAAAAAAAACGTCTATGATGTCCAGTATTACTCTTTACAGCTTGTCTGCCATTCCAGCTTTCCAAGTGAGCAAAACTTCTTAGATATAGAGATTATTTTCTTTCGTTACAGGCGCAAAAAGGCAGCCACTACACGTAAAGAAGACGCCGGGTAGCAAAAGCGAGCGGAAAACGGTCGCGAAAGGCGACGAGAAATATGTGCATTGGAGCGCATCATGAAATACAATCTTTCGCATGTAGTCTTATGGAGTGACGTCAGAGTTGCCTATCATGTTGTTTAATGTCATTGGTCTGTGCAACCGATATTGAGGTATTTTTCGAATATTTTTTGTTATACCGAAAAATGGCCCTTTTGACGCGCCGCCACTGCCACTTCCTTTTTTAGTCTCGTGGGTCTCTTGTTTTAACAGCCTCACACACTTCGATCGCGAATAAATTATTATATGATCGTATTAATTATAATTAATGACAGATTCTTGTTATCACTGCACTCAACAAGTGATCGTGCTTGTTCGGCGACGTTGTTCAGTTTTGAGATGATATCTTCCATACAAGACGTAAGAGGTGAAAAGTTACAAAAGCTTCCCTTCTCAAGACTTGAGTACATTATTTATCATATAAATTTGAGAACCACCAAAAAATAAATCTTTATATTATAGGAATATGGGTCAGGTGATGTAAGAATTGTCTTACAATACACGCGTTCTTTTGGATAAATTTTAATTTCAATTAGCTGATAAACTTGAAAATATTAACAAATTATCTTTGGAATAGAACCCTGTAATTTGTGATATGTATGTGTAATATGCAAATTGTTTGTAAGTTTGTATTTCTGAATGCAGATGGCTTGACATAAGTCCCCCGATTCATGACACGTATAATAATGTAGCGTACCGGCAATGGATGAAATAAATATCCAGGTTCAGAATATCTTCTAATATGATCTGACCTCTAGTTTCCCTCTCAATAGTCCAAGTCTTCACGCTGTTTTATGTCATTTATTAACAACTCAAACAGTGAACGATCCAAAACAACCAAACACTCCGAAGGAACAAAAAGCATGAAATGAAAATAACAGATACGAGGCAGTAAAAAGGCAAGAAAGACCATATACACCCCAGTACAATAAACTAGGTACTACCATTTGCAGAACAGGCCGAAAATAACTTATGACAGGCATTTTTAAAAGACGACGAACAATTCTATAGGTGCACAACATTTGAATAGTACTGATAAAAGCTAATTTCATGATAAAACTGAAAATACTACACTACGGTAAATGAACTGTAATGACACTGTACTCAAACAATAACATGGTCCCTACGTCAGTCCACAGTCCAGCACAAAACATCCAACAGTCACACAACCACAGACAAACATCCCCGAAGACCAGAGGAACCCACACAGACACAAAACAACCACCAATCCAACCGAAACACTCAGACGACTGCCCCTCGTCAACCCACGGTGCAGACCATGCCGCAAAACAAAAGAAGGCCGGCAGTGTCACAGCGCTCCCCAGTGTCCTCACTGATAGAATACCAAATATTGAAACGATATCACATGACGATATTTAACAGGCAAAACAAGGGTCGTCACAATAATAATACAAGAAACCGCATTTCGATTTATATATATGTATATATAATATATGGTGATAAGATATACAATCAGAATAAAAAATAAATCATCCTATGAATGACATATGTGACATTAATTAATGCATTATTTATAATGTCGTTGGCAAAGTACACGTGCAGCCTATAATAACTTTTTGTATTGTTTTTACACAACCTTTTCTGGGAATAATACATTCACTAAACGATAAATTTGGATCACGTCTTAGTACTGTAATGTCAATAGTAATTGGTACGGACACAAAAGACGTATCTTCTTTCTTGGTTGTGGGGTTGATACATCCTTTGCAAGAGCAGAATCCAAGTTTAAGCCACTGTGGAAATCTGGAAAATAAATAAATTTTGGGGAAAAAGGGAGAAATGATATCGAATAGGAAGTCTCTTTTCGCATTTATTTTGATCCTTTAAATTGTATTAAAAATATTTATTCGCCATCCAGAACAATACAATCCTACACAAACAGTAAAAACAAGGCCCGTAAAAATATCGGTATCATATTCTGAATATCGATGAGGTAGCCTACAACTTTCGGATCGGAGGCTACAAAAGTCTTCAAACCTTCATTTAATTTATCATCAAATTTTCAAAACAGCACCTTCGCACCTTGAGCTCAGATTTTGAGTTGGTGCAAAAGCGAGGGAGGCAAACGTCCTCGATCCACATATCTCCATTGATAAGCTAAGTAAGCTCTATTTTGATGGTAGTGTCAGACCCTAAACACAAATAGTATTTTCTGCGCTCACCTAAGTAGCTTACTTACGCTTCAACGATACGTAAGAAAATACGGCACTTCGCTTTTGTGTCATTTAATAAAAATAATAAGGTTCCAGAATAAAATACGAGCGCACCCGATTGCGTGGACGGACTAGAGACTTAAACAACGTCTACTGCTTACCTCAACGGATCGTAGTGAGAGCAGGCTTGCCAAGGTGAAGTGCTTCTTGATGCAGGTGTACGTCCGGATGCAATTGTTTCGTGGCTTGGGCAAGATTTTTTGCACTGGAATCCGGTTTCAGGCAATGACCGAGATGGAATAGGCGAAACAGTGAATCCGGTCCAATTTGAATTTAAACTTCTTGCACCTGATGTTCTCTTTCGAATTTTGCTTTCTGAGAATTTCTGCTCATCTGCGTTTTTAGCAAAAGCTCGTACCTGTGAACCCATTCCGACAACGTTAGGATCTGACGCAATTGTTCTACAAAGTTGTTTCATTCTAAAAGTTTTGAATGTTTTACACTGGTTTCTGATTTGTGAATGCAATTTTCTTGGTGTTGTCCGTACATTCTTAATGGTTGTTGCTTTCTGCGCCACTCCCGATCTATTTTCAAATAACATGATTAAAGCGGCAAATAACAATTTGTAAAATATTTTCATTATTTAAAGCTTTTGATTTGCGAACTTAGGTATTATGGGATTTAACCTCACTCACTCTTGCTAAAAGCTCTTATGCAGCTAGATTTAACGCAACGAAGTAAAAGGCTTGATATTTTCGCGAATTCAATAATGAAATATAGGTAGAAATAATAAAAGCTCTGTAAAACCCTCCGGGCAAGTAGATCGGCGTATCAGATACCGATATATACCGCATTGAAATATCATTATCAAAATTCACTTCAAGCAATCGAATTAGGGACTACGAAAATTAGGTACTCGAACCAATAAACAAGCAAGAACAATATTGTTGATGAGGTGTTTTGCAGGAACCCGAGTTCAAAAAAATGAATCATAATTAAAATTAAATAAGGATTTTCTGTAAAGTCAACTTTAATCGAAATGTCGTTTGCATTGAATTATGTGCATGCAGGGTATAGCGAAGCTGTATCTAGTCAAGATTTAGAATGTGGCTGGTTTAGTGGTGGAATTCAGGGGGTTCGCCAACCACTGTGCGTGATGTAGGCTATATACACTGTAATTACTCGTTATTCTTAGTTTTTCTAAAGACTCCATGGCGTTGCTTTACACAAAATCTGCTGCTTTTGGAGAAAATACGCGTTTTCGTGTTAATCCCTTTTAGCGAGTTTGTACTCAACAAAACATTTTGACGGTACCTTCGTCCATGTTGTAGATTTGTTTCATATATATAGCATATTTCCATTGTGTTTATATGATAAAACGTTGTTACCAATTGCTTATTCTGAAATTGCGTATTGCAAATTTACGAAGCGACGACGACGTTATTCTTACATCAAACATCATTCTCGATGAAGTGGACGTTCAGCTGAATTATTATTGCTTTTCGTGTTTATGTGGAATTTAAAATCGTTGGTCTTGGTCAACCGCTAACATTTTTAGTTGAGAGATAGTTTCATTATCACAAAAAGTTAATACAAAGAGTTAATACTATAATATTATAAGTTGACTAAAGAAATTAATTTTACTCGTAACTGATTGATCATCGTTTTGTATGGGTCGGTATGGAATATCTATAAAGGTTTTGTAGGACGCTTGTGTATTCTGTCTATATATATATATATGCTATCAGGGGGAAATACTATCAAAAATTGGAGGTAACTAGATAAAATATAATAAATAGATGAACGAGTCGGCAATTATAAATAAAAGTTATTACCAGCAATTGGAGATTTAGAGAGGTCATGTTGTATTTCGAAACTAAGTATGTCCAAGGAATGATAACAGTCACAGGTTTCCATCCAGAGTTTCAATTTTGGTCCACTAATTATTAAATAAGTCATTAGACATGGTACGGGATCAAAACTGGGACCAACGATAAACCCAAGCTTCAAACTCAAGTCTCCATTTTTCCCTCTTTGTATTACTACAAAGTTGAGTTTGCCGACGGTGTAGTCCAATGGTTCTCAGCCTTTTTCTTTCGTGGCCCATTTTCGTTGCACAAAAAATTCTGTGACCCATTAACTTTCTCATGCAATAGAAAAAACAAAAATTATTTTTACAAGAATGGGCACTTCCACTTCACCATTTAGTAGCAAAAACAACATTATCATTCATTTCTAGTACAATAATTTCACTAATTTATCAAGAAGTCTAGCAATTTTGATAGATTTTTTTTATTATCAATAAAACGACCTTTGTCATACACATAATACATGAAATAAAACTCGATTTCGCTGAAAAATGAGTTCCTTTTTTATATGCTGAGTCAATTTACAACTTTTCACAGCAATAACTTTTTCACAGTTAATAAAATTTTTACGAAGTGTAGAATCGAAAAATTCGAAAGCTTACTTTACATAGTTTACTACATTTGTAAATGAAAAAATTTTCATATAATAATTTTTAATATATTTGTGGCCCACCTGAAAACATTTCTGCGGTCAAGCAGTTGGCCATGGCCCACTGGTTGAGAATCGGTAATGTAGTCCAGCGGTTCCCAAACTCTTTATTTACGAATACAAAGAAGAGGAAAATTGCAAGTGTTAATTGTAAAGGAAAATCGATTGTAACGGTTTTTTGTTTAACGATTTGGTTTTTCAAATGAAAATAAATTATAATAGTCACCCGATAGCAATACCGCAAAATCGATTGCTTCTCATCGTTAAGGATGTGATTCGTGTAATTGAATACCGATAAGGTCAACTGTGTAAGGGGATGTGGGCTCGAACACGTGCCTAATTATTTGTTTGATTTGTTGTAGTAACCGTGTGGTTTCCAACAACCAGACCATGTATATCGATTCCGTAAACCAGTATCCAATCTAAGCGGTTGAATTAATCACCCACAACACTTGTATAAAGATTCTGGGTGCCACGGCGCAGTAACATGCAGGTTTTAAAGCCCAGGCTTCTCGTTAATAATACATGAATAAACGCTTAACCGCATCTGCAAAATACTCATGGTCTACAATATGTCGCCGTGTTTCAAACAAGAAGAAAATTTGAACCTGGCTTGCGCATGGCACCGACGCATGTTTTTATGAAGAGGTAACGTCGTAATTAGAACATGCGCAACTCGAAATACAATGAGCCGCCCTTTTGTTCAGAAGAATGCGTATTTAATAACAAAATACCGCTCAATAAATCCCACTGTTGTGATGGCACAAACAAGTTTTCTTTTGAGAGACACGACTTAATGATATGGCCAAATACGACCTTTCATCCAGTTATAAGTCCATGTCGGGTATGGGATTGGTTAATCAGTTGGGCTACATGTTTCAGATGCATGGACTTGTTGGCGGGGGAAGTCGTAACCGATCAGCGGCGTCAAGGAATTCAGCAATCCTCTGCGCGCATATTTATTCCCACGGGATCCTAACCTGTGAATCCACGCATGGCAATAAGGGGTGCCATGGCGAGCGTATTCCTATTGTTCAACGCCTAACGCCACACTGCCGAGCTGAGAAGGTTGGATTTACATATTTATTCCGGGCGGGAGGAAAGCCGATAAGACGGCTTAACCATATGGGCCATATGATATGACCAGCTTTTACGTGAATCACCCTACGGCAAGGGTGCCCAACCCGCGGCCCGCCGGACTGTTTTTTGCGGCCCGCCCTATAAATTCCGTAAGCAGACTTTCTGATTTTTTACTATGTTACTTGGCGAAAGCTTGTTTCGTGGTTTTGGTGTGATTATTTTATCCATCTATCTACATCCGGATGCCGATTCTTATTGTTAAGTATGTATCAAGTCTTGCGCCCTGATGGACATCGACGTTAAGATTTTTTTATTTCCCGCAGAACTGTGCGTTTTGTTCGACGAGCTTGATTGTGCGATCATTGGCGACGAAAGTTGAGCGTAATTATAGGCTTTGATCATCTTTATCGCCGTACGTAAAATAAAAAGTCAACAATATCTTTGCTCCTGGCTCTGGGACACGTTGTTCTTTTATGTTTGTATTTTTGTGTATTTTATGTTTGCGTTGAATAACAATTTGGAAATATCGTCACTGCGTATCCGTCAATAATTTTGATAAAATTGATCAAAATGGCAATTTTCCCAATCAAATTAGTATATATATTTGTCCAGAAGTCTTTGTAATGTTTCTTAAATAGGCCTACTTGTATTGAAGTTTCAAATTTCACGAAACGGCCCCCTAAAATTTGATATTTACGCTCAAATATCATAGCCACTGAAAATAAATAAATAAAAAACACCATGACTCAAACATAAGACTCAATTTTGACGTCTTTGTTTGTTAGTGAAAACTCTGTGCAGATTCTCGTGTGGCCGTCAGAAATCCACATGTGCGTTGTGTAATGATTGATTTTTTGACTGAGCGACTCGCGAATGTCATGTCCACGCCCCATGTTACCGGATATTCGAATAGTAAACTGCTGATATTCGAATATTTTGCCAGCACTAATCAGTAACCAGAAAATATTTATTAACTTGATTGATTTTATGTTACCGTAATAATTTTGCCTTTTATGTATTATGTAAATTCTAACGAAATCGGGACTTGGCTAGTATTGAAGTTTGGATAGGATAGGATTTACATATTTATCCCGGGGGAGAGGAAAGCCGATAAGACGGCTTATCCATATGGCGAACCACGGCCTCTCGTCCGGTTACCATTCCAAGTCGGGTATGGGATTAGTTTTTACTGTATTGTTTGTTTTTCGGAAGCATGGACTTGTTGGTGGAGGAAGCCGTAACCGACCAGCGGTTACGTGAACCACCCAACGACGGCGAGGAGTCCAGCAATCCTCTCGCACATAACCATCCCTGCATGGGATTCGAACCTGCGAACCCACGCAGAGTAATTAGAGGTGCGGTGGCGAGCGTATTTCTAACGCTTAGCCCGTTGAGCCACACCGCCGCGTTTGTTACAAACGTTTGCGGCCCGCAACGAATTTCGTTATGTGAAAGTGGCCCGCGAGACAAAAAAGGTTGGGCAGGCCTGCCCTACGGCAAAGAGGAGTCCCCAGCATGGGATTCGAAGCTGCGAAGTGCGAACCCACACAGTTAGCACGATGAGACACACCGCCGCTCCAGTATCAAATAATGTCTTTTTTGCTACGTATTTTTCGGGATTAATAAATCTCCCCCGTGATAAATATGTAAATCTTATTCTATCCTAGTATAAATATTGGAAGCCATAGTATATAGTTGGTTTTCATTGGCAAGCAATTGCAAATTTTCGGCGTGCATAATTGACTCCACTCGCGTGCATTTTTGCGGAGCGACAGCGCCATCGCGCGTGTACCTGCCATAGAATCCAAAGTGACAAAGTGACTGTGAAGTCACTATAGTCACTTTGATAGAATTCAGCCTGGCACTGCATTACAGCAATAGTCACAACATTGCATCGTTGTGCAGTTGTAACGTTGAGCCTAAGACAGGCAAATACTGCAGTACTGAACTTTGGCTTTATGCTTCGTCGAAAAGTTCTCGTAATTATCACTGATACCATTTGTACAAGATTATCACATCCGAGGTAAGAACTAATGCCATGACTGCACTCGAAAGTACCGTAATTTTTATTCTGTCTTTGCGCAGCTCCTCAGCTAACACATCCAGACATCATACCGTACATGATACATCCAAACGGTAGGCATACAGCCATACCTGCATACCGTACTGTACGCTTTTGCACCTTCTGACCTTGCTATTTAAGGAATAGGCCTACTATCATTAATTTACTCCATTTGCCAGGGCTTTGATAATATAATTAAGGCATTAACCCCTCACACAGACTCACTGGATCCAGTCCCCTCGCTGAAGACCTGGAGAAATTTTTCCATGTAGTTCCTCCTGTCTTATTTCTGTATTTAGTCAGTTGTAAAAAATGATTGCAAGACCCACCTTCAGAACTTTAATGCCATAACAGTTACGGTACTTTCAGTTTTGTATTGTTCAGCATTATTAGAATCTGACTAATATATATCTATGTTTCAATCTCAGTTCAACTCTTGGCGTCCAGTGCAGACTATTCAGCAGTTCTCTGAACAAAATGGTTGCCACTCAAGAAAATAGTAAAGTTATCTCAAGGTGATTAAACGTTTTTTATTAAATTGAAAATTTTTGGCTCGGCGGTGTGGCGCATCGTGCTAAGCGTTAGAAATACGCTCGCCACCGCATCTCTGATTACCCTTCGAATCCCATGCGGGGATGATCATGTGCGAGAGGATTACTGGACTCGCCGCCGTAGGGTGGTTCACATAACCGCTGGTCGGTTACGGCTTCCTCCACCATCAACAGATCAAGGACATGCTTCCGAAGACAAATAACTGGCTGACTAATCCCATACCTGACCTGGACTGGTGACTGGACGAGAGGCCGTGGTTCGCCATATGATTAAGCTGTCTTATCGGCTTTTCTCTCCCCCGGGATAAACATGTAAATCTTATCCTATCCTTGAACCTCTGTAGAGCTAGCAAAGTGTGCACAAGAAACATTATTTTTGCCACCAGTAATAACTTCATTCTTTTTCTTAAGTAAGATTGTTGCAAGATTTTGTCACTTTTCTGAGTGAGTGTGGGTGAATAGCACTATTTTTCTGATCTTCCCGTAGACTGTAGTCCTTTTATTTTGTTATGTGTTGTAGACGAAAGATCGAAATAAAGTTGTATTGTGTAATATTTTACTTAATAATATATATATATATGCTTCTGAAACACATAACTAACTAATCCTATGCTCAACATATATTGGTAACCGAACGAGAGGCCAAGGTACGTCATATGGTAATAAAATCATCTTATCTCTTTCTTCTCTGTGATAAATATGGTACGAAACAGTTCTCCGATTCCAAAGATAGCTAGCCCCCACATTAAAAACATCAATTATAACGTTGGGTGCGAACTTCTTCTTCACGAGACAGTATGGGCCTCCATTTCAAAACAAATCAACAAACCGGCACTGCGCAAAAACTAAAAGGAATCTTATTTATTGTTTTAGAACTTACGAAAACGTTCAAAAATCCGAGAATGATGATCGTAAGTATAAAGGACTAATTTTGAGCAACGGTCTCAAAATATTACTCATTAGCGACCCTAATACTGACAAAGCAGCTGCAGCATTGGATGTTAATGTAGGTAAGTACCCTTTTGGGCGATCCAGAAGTATGTGTACCAATATGGAAGTAACTAATTTTATTCGCCTACTTTACATCAAGTTGTGTGAAGGGACTGATTACCGTACTATTGACAGGGGGTATATTCACTTGGCTAACACAGACAGCCCCCGAACTCTTAATATAACTAAAATAAGGAAAATCAGAATAAACTTGGCCTAAACCTAACCTGGTACACACACTTCATGGGTCCCCCTTTTGTATTTACTTCATGCAGCATATAACCTATTGACATTATTGTTGCTTTTTGTAGGATATGCTTCAGATCCAAGTGATTTACCAGGACTAGCTCATTTTTGTGAACACATGTTATTTCTTGGAACAAAGAAATATCCAAATGAAGATGAATACCATAAGGTGAGACATGATTTGTTAACTCTTTTGTTCCGTATGACGAATATATTCGTATTACCATCCTTGGTCATAATAGTTATTTTCGGACTATTTTACGTTTATGTTCATGTTTTGTGAAGTATTCCGCACTAACTAAATCATTTTGAGCATCCAACTATGATCCGTGCTTGATCTGTCAACATTTTTTTTTTTGTAAATTTTTTATTTTACTACTAAGTGAATTTTATTTGTGTAGGTATTTCAAAGCTTAGAGATACACGAAAGTATTTGTCATTACTCCAAAAATAAGTCATTTGAACAAGCGGGAAACAATTTCGCGCACATAATAAACAAACAAAGATTCCAGACAACTATCGTGGACATGCTCTCACATATCATTGATTATTTCGCGCTTCGCTTGCGAAGCTGAGTCTGGTTTTTCTGCAAAGGTGGCGTAACGCTCTTTCAGAAGAGCGCTTGGAATTTCGTTTCTTTGTAACACGTGTTCATCGAATCGATAAGAGTGTGAAATGTTCTCTCAAAATTTTTTGAAATTTCTTTCAACTTACCGGCGTAGGGTCGAACTGTTTATGCCTACGTCATTTGGGCGCGTTTTAGTAGGAAGACGCGAAAATAAGCTTTTTAAAGAGATAATGGGCGTGTTCCTTGTACGTTTGGTTAACTGGTCATTACATATTATAAAATGGTACAAAAAGTCGATTGTATACAGCGGAAAAAAAGGGTTAAGGTATTTTTGAACTCTAATTATTGTTCATGAGTGTTGGCTGTAGATTTTTGTTGACTGATAACTGTTGAATTAAATTAGCATCTCACACTGGACAAATATATATTTTAATAAATAGAATCTTGATCACTCCTCCACAGACAATTCCTGTTTAATCGATAACAAAAATTTAGGATGGGATATTTATACTGACATTGTCTAGCTAGGGGGTAAAGTTTATTTTTATTTTTTTATTGGTTTCAATTTTCCATATTTTTATGCTTAATGTTATATTTAAAGTGAGATATATTTTGTTTTTGATTCTATGTATCTACCGTTTGGATTAACTTATTTCATTGAATATCTGTAATTTCATCTTTCAATGCATAATCTCAGTATATAAATCAACATGGAGGTTCCTGCAATGCATATACAAGCACTGATCATACAAATTATTATTTTGATGTCGGTCATGAACATCTGAAGGGAGCTTTAGACAGGTATGTGAATTCACTTAAATATTGGTAATTCTAATATGAAAAAGGAATTCAGATTTTAATTTACCGTACATAATTTCCTTCAGGTTTTCTCAGTTTTTTATTGATCCACTTTTCGATGTTTGCTGTTCTGATCGTGAAGTCAATGCAGTACATTCTGAACATGAGAAAAATATAATGTCGGATGCATGGAGATTACAAATGTTAGATAAAACCACTTGTGATCAGGATCATGTCTTCTCCAAATTTGGAACAGGTGATATTCTTTCTGTCATTTTTATGATTTATTGGACAATTAATAAGGGTCTTTTTTTTGAGTGTTTTTTTAAGCTAAAGTATATAGTTTGTTAGTTTTGATAATAGGATGCAGATGCAATATTAGAAAAGTTCAATAACATTAAATTGTCCGTGATATTCAATTTTTTCGGTTAGGAAATTTGGATTTTTCCTGCTAAGCATAATCTACCGGTACATAATATTTTCCATTCTATATAGTTAAAAATGTATTTCACTTTTCTGACTGTAGTTAGATCTTAGGTAAGCAATACCTAAGCATATAAACCACTAATTACCATTCTATGCTGCAATGCCTTCCATTTCTCATCTGATTATTACAATGATCATTATGTTCAAAGGTAACAAGGAAACGCTTGATTCTTTACCAAAGCAAAAAGGACTTAATGTCAGGGACGAACTGTTGAAATTTCACGAAAAGTTTTACTCTTCGAATATAATGGGTTTGTCGATGATCGGGAGGGAATCTTTGGATGAATTAACAGAGATTGCAATGGATTTGTTTTCAAGCGTGGTTAACAAAGATGTAAAAGTACCAGTTTATCAAGAGTCACCTTACAGGAAAGAAGACATGGAAGTAATAACCAATTTTTATCTGTAGCAATACGTTCTACTTGAAACGGCCTTACATTTTCATACATGATTGGCAAATTTCATGATGATACTTTGAAAACCGTAATTGTGGGTTTAATTTGAAAAAAACAAGAGAAACGAGATATCAACAATAACTTTAATAATCTTTTATTATATAAACCAATCAAGGATTGATCTGTTGACTTATCCTTGATATCTATATCAATTACAGTCATGATTTGATTGGAACTTCTGAATATTGGAAAAAGGGTATTTTAATTTTTTAAGTATGAAATCAAAATAATAAGAGTTTTACAAATCAATTTGTTTCAAATTGTTTGAACTAGGTACTCTTCGGATAACTGTTTATCTTATTAATTTAGTGTTGTGTAAATAATTGATGCATTAACTGATTGTTCTAATTTTTTAGAAACGTTGTAACTCAGTTCCAGTGAAAGATATCAGAAATCTTATCGTTACTTTTCCGATTCCTGATTTACAAGAATATTATGATTCAAATGTGAGAAATTGCTTTATATTATTAAGTTTAAAGTTCTGGTAACATATATTAATATTGCTGAATCTAGTTTTATAAATCAAGGATGTGCAACCTGTGGCCCGCTGGCCAAATGCGGCCCACTAAGAAAAAAATTGTGCGGCCCATGGAGAAGTGCGAGTTTTGAATGGTGTGCGGCCTGCGAAATGAGTTTTGGGAACCTCTCTCTTGGGATATTATATAGGCGATGAAAAATTATTTCGGCCCTCAAAACATGGTATCGTCATTATCGGTGTCTGCTGATTCAGCTTTAATTTGAGTGAATGGTATAAAACAATATGTATATCTAGTTTTGGTTATCTACTTAGTTGAGATTCATTCAGATACTCAACCAACTAACAAAAAGGAAAGACTGGTTTCTGAAATGCAAATGTTTTGAAAATTTCAATCACCAATTCTATAAATCTATGTGGGCAGTTGATAACATTTTGAAATTTTATTTTTAGCCGGGTTCGTATCTTGGACACTTGATTGGCCATGAAGGACCCGGCAGTTTACTCTCAGAACTTAAGAATCGAGGATGGGTGAATTCACTTGTTGCAGGGCAAAAGGGGGGATCGAGAGGATTCGACTTCTTTCTCATTCAAGTGGATTTGACAGAAACTGGAATGGGTGAGTTTGTGATTGTCTTATGAATGGCCACCTTCAAATTCATGTAAATAGTCTAGCTAGAACATTACGATGAAAGCAATTTAATTAACTAGTTCATTTCTCAAATTCATGGTTTTCAATATCTGTCTTATTTCAATTAAATTCTATTTTACCTAAATTTGTTGATCGTTTTGGCTGATTGTTTGTTAATCATTCTTATTAGTTTGGCGAACTGTGAATATTAGTAAGTACCACACAGGTTCTATTTGCTATTTATTATTTGAGAATTATTTTTGCGTTTCAATGTTGCAAAATTATTTTTCATTATATTTTTATATAATATTGTCACTTTCTCAGATCATGTTGAAGACATTATCCAAATCATGTTTCAATATATCAAACTGTTAAAAAGTGTCGGTCATCAGGATTGGATTCATCATGAAATAAGAGACATAAGCGCTATTAGTTTTAGATTCAAAGGTATGTCCCGTTTCAAGTTATAGTGAGAAATTCTGAATTGAATAGTTTGGAGCCTTCATCTGGTAGAAATGTGGTTTCACTTTGATATTATTTGTCCTGCATTGTCCAATTTCATAGCAAATTTTGTTTGCGAAAGTATTGTTAATTGAATGGCAAGAAAAATTTAATTATATCAGAATAGGCAAATAGCCATTTACTAAACATGCTTTTTGGTTGTATTTAGATAAAGAAAAGCCCTCAAGTTATGTGTCGAAGGTATCACAAGCACTTCATTATTTTCCTCTTGATAAAGTATTATCTGCTGGGAATATATTGACTGGAAGTAGACCAGATGTTGTTCAAGATATATTAGAAAGATTGAATGCTGATAACATGAAGTGAGTTATAAATGAAATATTCCTTTTAATCACTGATAAATATTATTGTAAAGCATTTGAATTAGGAATACTTAATTTGACTTAGATAAGATGTTGTTAATCTCTATCAGTTTCTTTGAATTGATTACAGTTTGAAAAGCAAAAATTGTTTAATAAAATGGGCTCATTTCAGAGTTTTGATTTTATGATTAGATATGTCCCATTCTTTATATTTCCTTTATATTTACAAGTTATGCACTACAATTCCTGACTGAGTCAATGTTTTCCAAACAGTAGAATAAAAGATGAAGTAACTCTTATTTGAAAACAAGGTGTATGGTTATTCTGTATTTTTATTTTAAAAATAAGGGTTGACGTCGTGGCAAAAGCTTTTGACGGGTCAGCTGATTTATCTGAAAAATGGTATGGTACAAAGTATGCTCTTGTTCCTATTACGAATGAAACAAAAGAAAAATGGAATAATGTTGAACTCAATGACAAGCTCAGACTTCCTGAACCCAATGAATTCATTCCGTCTTCTTTGAGTCAAAAATTGGTTCCAGAATCAAATCCAGAATTGCCAAAGTTGATAAAGGTTGGTGTATACTTCACATAGAATGATTGCATATAATACTAGACCATAGTTTCTCAAACGGTAAGATGCTCCTCACAAGGGGGGCGTGAAACTAATTCAAAATTAAAATATTTGTTAGATTTGATCTTGCCCGCCTTATTTTGGATACTATTATTTTTTTATTTTGAAAATTTACATTTCATCCTCGTATTTTCGACATGTTTTTGGAATAAAACATACTTTCACCTTACTATCTGGTATTTGTAGCTTATTGTTAGCTAGTTAGTTTTGAGGTGGGGCGGGGGACTTCACAAATTCTAAAAAAGGGGGCGGGACCAAAAAAGTTTGAGAACCATTGTTCTAGACACATAAATGCAGTGATAATACCAGAGCTGGGGATCCTGAACTGAAGTCATAGAGCCATAGTACTTGGTTGGAACCGTCAAGTTTACCAGAAGTTCTTCCTTTTTAGCTTATAATTTTTTTTTAATTGAGTTTCTGATGTAAAGTTCAATTTCAAAATTTGAAACCCTTATATCTTAGTTTCAGGTACTGCTTCTTCGAAATGCATTTGGTCTGATATTTCTTAGTATTGGTCATACCAAAAAACCTAAATGGCTATGAAGCTAGATCCTAGCTCCGTGGCCATTGTGATTTCAAACCAGCCCCACAGCCCTGGATGGTATATCATATCCAATGTCTCACTCACTTATAGGATGTCCATCCATACATATTATTTGTCAAAAATATCAAAATTATATTTTTCAGATGGACAATTTTTCAAAAGTTTGGTTTAAACAAGATTCCACGTTCAATCTACCGAAAGCTACAATATCTGTCGATTTCTATAGTCCTTATGCTTATGTTGATCCACATCATTATAATATGGTTCATTTGTTTGTTGGTAAGCATTGTTTTGTCTTGTAACATTTGCATTCAAATGGTTGTTCAACTATGCAATGAATGCGCCTCCTATAAAATAAGTAGTATAAATTTTTCTGTTATTTATTTGGATTTTCTAAACTTGATTTTGTAATTAAGGCATTTAGCATTGAGATATTGCGAAAATATTTCTAATTGAAATGTCAAATTTCTGTTTTATTAGCTTATTAGCCGGTTCCTTTGTAATGCAAAACCTTAATTAATTGACCAATTTTTTCTTAGAAAAATAAGGGAACATTGCATTCTGTCATATGAATCTCATTGAGCTCATCTGTGAGGTTATGAAATTATACAAATAATATGTAATATCTGAATGCAAGGAGTCTTGGTGTGAAATGAATGTCTACCGCGAGGGTGTGCAAACTGAGGCTCGCAAGAAAAAATTGTGTGGCCCGTGAAGAAGGGCCAATTTTGAATAGAGTGCTCACGAAACAAGCTTTTAGTTAATCTTGTACGTGCGAGAAATTCCGGTTCTTTTGCGTCGCTAAACCTAGTAGTACCTTAGTGCCACTGTCATATTTGCAAAATCCTGTTGCAAAATACACAGTGTTATAAAAACGTGTTTATCACTGAATTCGTTTTAAGTCGGTTTGACAATAAATTTGAATAGCAGTTTTCTTCAGAAATTTATACGTTTTAACTCAACCATTTTTGCAAAGGACCCCTAACAATGAGGTAAGATCAATGTCTAGAAGAAACAGTTTTTGTGCCTGCAACCACTAAAAGGCTATCTCAAATAAAGGTGCGTCATGCAGCCTCACCCAGTTACTTGTATATCTGGCCCTTCTGTAATAAAGGTTGCACACTCCTGGTCCAATGAATTTTCTGAAATTTTGAGGTAGATATTTTTCCGGTCTCTGATAATTAGGTATTTCATATCATTTAGATTTGTTTGTTGATGCCTTGAATGAATATTCTTATGCGGCAGAAATCGCTGGACTTGGATTTAAACTCAGTAACACGGTATATGGAATGTGTGTAAGTATGCCATTGTTTTTATGCAATCCTCGAACTGAAGGTCTAAAATTTATGATAGAATAGGATTTACATATTTATCCCAACGACAATATTCACATATTTATCTCAACAACTAACTCTCTAATAACTATAGTTTGCTTTGAATCAATGGATCAAATTATCCACATATAGGCTACAATCGTCGGCGCATGTTCACTATATGACGTGAGTACTTCTATTTGGCGGGGCACAACAATTTTTGCATATGTTATTCCTAACCCCTACCTGGCTATGCCATCCAAAATTTACACAAACACGTTATGGAGCTTGTCAAAGTATAGCTACGGTTGCAGAAATGGCGTCTGCGCTGATGATAACGAACTCACCAACGCCAACAATCTCTCTCTTATCGGGATTGTTACCACATGAAAACGAGAAAAATAGCTTGCACGATTTCGGGGGATCATCTGCGAGTCTCGGATGACAGTGGGTATAGTTTGGAGGCCCTCATTATGTTACTGTGACATCGTAGTGACGTAATTTTTGAATGACGTCATCAGGTGGGGTTTAGGAATAACATATGCAAAAATGGTTGTGTCACGCCAACTAGAGGTACTTACGTCGTGTTGTGAACATGGCCCATCGTCAGTATATATTTTTTAGCAGTAATAGTAGTATAATGTTGACTTTTTATATGTGGCTTTTATCAAACCACGTAATTCACTACAAACCAGTATCTGCACAAGCAGCTGCAATAAGGTAAAGAACTAATATAGTTTTGAAGATTCTGGTTCGGCATTGCCTAGATAATTTATCATACCCTGATTAAGGTCATGGGCATGGGATTTTACCCTGAGATTTTACCCTGTGTAGTTATATCTAACCCTAGTCATCTATTAATCCAAGGCTGTGCCCATAACCTACATTATTAGAGTATGTTTCACCAATAGAAATTTTCAAGCATAAAAAGATAGGGTTCGCAAGTTATAGGAACACGTTAAATTTTTCCGTTTTCTACTAAAATTTAATACTGATATTGTATAATACTCTCTGTTAAGTTAACTATCGATGGTTACGAAGACAAGCAGATGGTTCTTCTTGAAAAAATATTAACAAGATTGACAAACTTTGCTATAGATCCACAGAGATTCACTATTTTAAAAGAATTGGTGAGAAAATTTTTGTTTGTCGTACTAATATAACTTAAATCTTCTCTAAAATATCTATTGAAATTGATAAAAAAATAATTATATATACTTTCAGTATCAACGAGCGCTTCAGAACTTTCATGCTGATCAGCCATACAATCATTCTGCTTATTATTGTCAAGTGCTTAGGTCTGAGGTGGTTTGGACAAAAACTAAATTATATGAGGCATTGCCAGGTAATGTCTTTTTTAATGACCCTCTCTTATATATGGAAATATTGAGTTTGACAAAAGTTGAACAGTGTGCAAGATGCTATTTTTGGTGTTAAAAAAAAGTAAGGCAAAATCAAATCTTCGAAAAGTTAAAAATCTTTAAAGGTTTTATTTATTTTATAAATCACATTGATCAAAAAGATGAAGACTGAAGAAGAAGTGTCCTCCTTCATTTTGAACACGCTTCTAATAATTAAATTTCGATTTAGTTTTGTAACACTCTGTATTTTTTAATTATGTACAAAATAATATTGCTGTTTTATATAACTTTTTGTTTTTTTTGTAATAAAATTCTTATTTTTAGAACTTACATTGGAAAGCGTGTCTGAGTTCATTCCAACTTTTTTGTCATATCTTCATTTTGAATCACTAATGCACGGAAATCTAACAAAAAAAGGTTTGTGAGTAATGGAACTACTAAAAATTCTATATTTTATGCAACTATGATATATTATAATTTATATAAAAGGATTTATGGATAAATATGTTGTGATCTTCAATAACTTGAATCTTTAATGGATTTTCTTTTCAATATCATTGTTTAAATTATGTATTTTTAAGTCTAAATTTTAATTTTGTAGATTGTGAGAGTGTTAAAATTTGCTCGGATTAATCGCATTTTTTTTCTGTGTGATGCTTTCGCTCCAAACAAGGCCCTATACAAGCAGCCACTGATATGTAAGGAACTAGTTATTACTCGAGAACCGGAATCTTTCCGGCTCAGTATTGCTTACCCTATTTTACACACTTTAGGTAAGGTGAAGGCATGAGATTTGAAGTTGAGTCTGATGCTTTGAATGCTAGGCTATTGTATTATGTAGATTTTTCTATATTTATCATCGATTCTTTCAAACTTAAGCATTGTTGTTTCTTCTAATTAGATGCCTCAAATATAACATCTTTCATTGAGAAAACCCTGAAAGAAAATACATTGACACGTCCGCTATTGCCCTCACAGTTGGTTCGATATCGGGATATAGAACTTCCACCAAGTAAGTTTGTGCAGAATATTGTTTGTAATATAAGGTGCACTGCATCCGTTCTTTACCTCAATTTACTTCAATTCATTTATCCACTGTTTCTTTTATTGGCTTTTTCACTATGAAAATGTCTCTATGCAGGTCCTTACTGTGTGTTTTGAAACACTGTCATCTGCTCAGTTCATCATTACCTTCACCAGTGGCTCCCCAACCTTTTTCGATATATTCCTTTGTTCATTTTGCATCTCTCGATTTCCCCCTCACTGTATAAAAATTCTTGTTCAATATTGAAAAGATCCTCAGCTAGTGTGCACTCAACTTGCACTCTGGTTTTTTCACAGTTTCAATGGTTCATAAGGCGTGCAGAACTTTATATTACAATAATACTATATAACTAAACGCTATTCATAAAAGTACTTCGAATACAAGCCAATATTTTTGTATTTGCTCTTGTGAAAATTTTTTTGTTTGTTTTTGGTGATGTGGAATTCTTCCCCAGCCCTTAAACGTGTGACAGGCCGCAGCTGAGTGTCAAACAAACAACTGTGTGAGAGAATTTCTTAGAATCACTGCTTAGGCATGAAGTTGTTAATTTTCTCTTTAGAATCTGCATATGTATACAAGTACCATCATGAAGTTCGAGATAATTCAGCGATCCAGTTATATTTACAAGTTGGGTTACAAAATACGAGAGATAACTGTCTACTCGACCTCACTTCACAGATGATATCAGAACCCTTTTTCAATATTCTGAGAACAAAGTAGGCACTGTTTAGTGTAATTCAATATGTAGAGAATTTTGCTCTCAATTCAGACCTTTCACACAGCAATAACAAGTTGATTTCACTTTCAATTGTGTTATTCCACTAAAACATTCTTTTCTGAATTGAATGTAGGGATTGCCTATCTTGTGCATTTTTCCCAAATATATCAAGGAGTAATTTTGTAAATGAAGCTGAGAGAACTTGGTCATCCAAATACCAAAATTTATAAGAATTAATATTCCAAACCGTAAAAAAATGATATGTTTAGTCAGAGTGTACTAGAATATTGGGTACTCCTGTAGTGTGTGTACCAGGTTAGGCTGAGTTTTATTCCAATTTTCCTTATTTTAGTTTTATTACGAGTTTGAAGACTGTCGCCTGGGTTAGCCAAGTGAATATATCCAGTGGCACAACCAGCGGGGGGGTTCAGGGGTCGTGTCCCCCCTGTTTGAAATTCGTTTTTTTTTTCAGATATTGTTCTACGTTAAAACTACGTTGTTCTACGGTCATAACACTCCGGTGAAAACTACTTTTCCCCATTGCTTTATCACCTCAACGTTATTTAACACATCCCGACATCAATCATACGTTATCGCTGTTAATTACCTAATAATAACGCCATCTGTGTATATGTTTATATTCGAGAGAAAGACATGTTATTTTAAGAGTAGAAATCACACGCCGTCGATGCGTTTTAAAAGCGACAATAGCACCACGCTCTCTCTCTCTCTTGTGACGAATACTCTCGTGCTGGTCATATTGATGCAATTAAGGCCGCCCGTCTTCATCTTTATGATTAGGTTATCACCTGTAGTCTGCAATAATAATGGCGCTATCTCCGTACAAAAAATACAGTAGAAACTCCGGAAATCTGGATACGAAAAATCCAACTTACGAAAATTATTTTCGGAAAAATATTGCTTCGACTATCGTAAGATTTTCTACATATGTAGCGCCGAAAACTAAAAAAACGTGTCTGAAGATATTTGTTTATTTTGGGCTTATTCAATGTAGGAATGTCCAATTTCAATTTAATATTCGAATATCGCTGATGTTTTTGATTGAAAATATTTTACACAATTCTTATCTTATATTTAATTTAGTCAAGACAGGTTTTGTGGCATCGGCGATAAATTTAAAAGCAAATTGTGTCGTAGTTAATTCTTTTCATCCTCGTTTCGATAGTGACCGAACAAAAAGAATTTTTTTTTCCTTTCTTGCAATTTAGAGCGTATAAAATAGCTCTTAAATATTCTTCAGTATCTATCGGAGATTTTTTCATTATCCTGTCGACGTTGATGACAATATCGTTCATATAAGTAGGCGGTATTGATTTATAATCGAAAGTTTATTATAACACATAACACGAAAAATTTAAATTAGCGCTCATTCGAAAAATAAAAAACGTTTTTCCGTCTTAATTCTCCATCATTGGCGGGAGGAATTTGGGAATCAGAATCACTAATTTGATTCTGGTGACGATGGTAAACACACAAACATACCGTTCTTAGTCGTTATTTCTCTGTCCTTTCCACATGTACACTTTCTATTTATTATGTATTTAATCTAATTCTACCATGTATTTATTACGGGTTTTAACCATTATTATAATTTATACAAACATTATGTCCGAGTTTTGTGTGGGCTTTAATACTTGATACTTATAAACACGAGAAAACAGTATTTGAAGTTCGCGATATTCAAATTTTAAATTCGATTTGAACATCCATAACATCCATGCATTAAATTAACCTAAACCAAATAAAAATCACTGTACGAGTTTTTTTCGGTTTTCGACCTGGTTCGAATGTTGAAAATCTTACTTCAGTCGATACACTATTTTTTTTTTTATGAAAATAATTTTCGCAAATTGGATTTTTGTATCCAGAGCCCAGGCTTCAAATAATAGACAAAATAAGTTATTGAAAATGCACAGTTTATTAATAAAGAATTGCAATTAGGTCAATGTTGAAATTATTGCAAAAAATTCATAGTGATTTATTGTTAAACAAACAGTTCTCTTCGCTGCGAGCAGCGGCAATTACTACGAAAGTCGACACAAATCCCACCGATGGCACCCAAGGATTTTGTTTAACATTTTTTACAGTGCTGTAGCATCGAAAGAAAGTGAAGAAAAAATGTGAAAGCATTACAGAATGATAATAATTCGCCGAGCTTTTGTAGTTGCAAACACGTCTAAGACTCGTTGTGAGTCGATTTTGGTTTCTTGGTGAATGGCCATTAGGGCTAGTCCGTTCAATCTTTCTTCATGCATTGTGTTGCGTAAATAGGTTTTGAGCCTTCGCAAAGTTGAAAAAGACCGTTCCGACGTAGCTGTCGTTACAGGAAGCGTCGACAAAATTTGGAGCAGCTTGTGAATATTTGGGAAATATTCCGGCGAAGCAAACTCGAGCGCGGCAAATGCATTTGCGGGAAGCTCTTTTCCATCCATATGGGAAAACTTCTGCTTCCACATCGCAAGCTCAGCTTTAACTATTGGCCAGGAATCCAATTCGTCAGCATATAGTTCAAAATCTTTCATCACGGGAGCCGCGTCATAATGTTTTCTCATATGCAAAGGGATGATGGAAAAACATTTTGTTGCTTGCTGGAATATTTTACCAAATCTCAGATCTACCTGGTCCACAATGGATTTCAGAAATGGCTTATAGTTCGTTGCAGCATTACTGTTTGCACATCTTCAACCGCGCTTGAGCGCAATCCCCTCGTTGTAGTCGGAATTTCTTCTTTTTCTAGGGTTATTTGAATTTCTTCAAATATTTCTTTAAACTCTCGTTCTGCATTTTCCAGTCATAATTCCAGACAACCCTTATCATAGCTGCATCGATGGTCTTCGATTGCAACAAAACTGATAAACTGTGAGTAACAGCCAAAGTGTGCGCCAGAATGTTTAGGTTTGTGACAAATTCCATCGTTCGCATCCGCATTTGGAGACCCTCGGCTTTGTGGGATGATATCGAATCACTTGTTTTTTCTATTTCATCCAATGTGTGTAAAATTGGGGAATACAACTCGTGGAAGGTTGCTACAGCTTCGTGTCGTTGTACCCAGCGAGTCTCGCACAACGATTTCAGTCGAGTGTGTCGGCTTTGGGGTGTCAATGCCTTGATAGCGTTTGCCAGGCATGACATTCTCTTTGGACTGTTCGATATAAAAACAATCACTTCTTTTATGGTGCGAAAAGACTTTTGTATGGAAGCAACTTGGCAAGCCTGGCCAATGACGAGATTTAGGCAATGCGAATTACAGTGGGTATATGTAGCTTTGGGATATTGATGTTTAATCAATGCTTGAACGCTGCGGAAGGTTCCCGACATATTTGATGCGCCATCGTAGCCTTGGCCACGCAATTGATTTAAATCGAGGCCCCATGCACCTAAATTCTCCAACAGCAAATTTGCAAGGTGTTCACCAGTCAAAGATTCAGCCTTGACAAACCCAAGAAAATCCTCACGAAGTTCATGCTTTCCATCCACGGGTTTGTATACGTAACGGATACGAATTGAAAACTGCTCACAGTTTAAAACGTCGCTTGTTTCATCTGCCAATACGGAGAAATATCCAGATTGTGTCACTCTTTGAACCAAAGATTTTCTAATGAAATCCCCACAGAGCTGCACAATTTCATTTTAAATGCCCCAACTTGTATACTGTACGTTTTTTGCAGATCCATGAATAAATTTTTGCAAATCCTGATCTCCGGATTGGATTCTGAATCGAACCAAAGCACGGAAATTGCCTTCGTTTTCATTTGCTTCAAAGATTGAAGGTTGATCGATTTTGCCAAAATCCCTGTGGCCACGGAGGGAGAGCATTTGCCGACCACACAGTTCAATTATATCGATCAAAGATAACATGCCCTTTCGGTTTTCAAGTGCTTGCTGTTCTCGATGATGCGACATTTGCTCCACAACGTTCCCTTGCGATGACTTGTATGCTTGTACAAAATTCTCGGGTTTTGTATTTGCTAGCTGGTGATAGGCTTTCGTAGCATGCTCTGCTAAAATAACCGTGGCATTTTTATAATTCTTCATCGGCTTTTTCACGAGAACCCGCAACTCGGCACCTCTCACTCTTTCGGGAGCAAATATTTTACTCGATTTGCAAAATCCACCATTTTGCGATGGGCTATAAGCTAGCCATTTGTAAGAATCAAGCCATTTGTTCTGAAATGACAGATAGCGGATCTTTTTCTTTATTTTTTTCTCAACTCTGGGAAATTGGAATGATGTCTTCGGCTTCCAGGTATTAGTTAGGTAATCGTATTTTTGTTGGTCTGTGGATTTTTCGTTTGGATCAAATGTACCAATGTCCATTTGACTACCTATTAGACCAGGGCTGGGCAATTATTTTTGCTATCGGGCCACATTGAATATTCAAAATGCAGTGGCGGGCCAGACTAAGTAAGCCAATTGTGCGTTTTTAATGCATTTTATTACACATTTAAATAAAACAAAGTAGGCCACTATTGTACTCCGTTATTTTTATTTAAAACACAGTTATTAAAACTAGTTTAAAACATAAATATCGCGATTTCGAGACAATACATAGGATCAGAGAAACGTCACGTTTGCAAAACAATGCCGAATTTTATATTAATGCTAAAGAATGAGTAACTATGCGGAATTAAGACCATGCCTTCGATGACCAAATATTCGTGATTCATATAAATTTGTTGTCACTATAGCATTTTTAAAGTAAACAGGGGTCGCGGAAAATTTTAATGCATTGGAAGGCGTTGCGAGTCTAAAAGTTTGGAATGCACTGCTCTAAAATACAACGTCTATCTGCGTATATAAAAATGTGAGATAAACTGCCGGAATATACTTAATTTTGATACCTATTTTTGCGACACGGGTATATTTAAAATGCATTGATATGGGCACATTAAAATGTCTTGCTTAATTGTTTTAACCTTAACCCGCGATTGCTTCGATAAAATATAATCATTACTACTCTTAAATACCACTGCATGCCGCGGATATAAAAATTTGAGATAAAGTGCCAGATTACTTTTATTCGTGTTTTGCGATTTCGTGAATTCAACAAATGTGATTTGTTCTTGCAACAAGGATTTGAATCTATTTTACAGATTTCACCAAGAGAAAAATCCTTACGTCTGCGATAAAACCACATCAACTTAGTACCATAAAAATCGGTTGAATTTACTTTGTGCCATGGGCACCAGAAAATTTTCAGTTTCCAATTTCTACAACAGCGTTTTTAATCTGTCGCAAGCCTTCTAAATCAATCTTGTATGTGTCCACTTTTTAGTATTTTATATTGCCGCTCTGAAATCTCGATCTAGGTTGCTTGCAGATGCACTCCTTTATCTTTATAGCATTATTATATAATGACTAGTTTTTCTCAATGGTTTCACAGTTCCCTATGCAAGACGTATATATATGTATGTTGAAGGAAATTTGTGATTTGAGTAGAATAATCACGGACGTAAAGGTGTTTACGGTCTAAATAACATCTCGAGCTGACGAAAACAATCGGTCATTAAAAAAAAAATTAGTCGAATGGTATTGCCGACTTTTTCATTTTCCTAAAAAAAATTTTGTTCACAGTTAAAGTATAGTTTATATGTAAATAAAAAAGAAAGTGTCCACATCTAGAAACCTGCTCGCGGGCCGGATGAAACGTTGCCGCGGGCCGGATGTGGCCCGCGGGCCGCAACTTGCCCAGGCCTGTATTAGACCTATAACGTTAGCTGCTGGTGGAATCGGGTCTTTTTGGCTTCCACTGGTGCTTGGCGTAGAGGCTTGGGGTTCATCCAGATGTACTAAAGACAGCGTTTCAACTTCAGGCACAACATTTTCGCCCTGTTTATCCGAAGGACTGAGGAAATAACTCGTCAATTTAGCTTGATTTGCTGGAGGTCTGGTCATGATGAACGACGAAATACCGAATAGTTGATTGTAAATAGTCGATTTTAATGGATGTTTCCCCGACCGCCAATTTCAATGTTTATTCCGTAATCCGTAACAATGACCAATCAGCAAAAAGTCAACGATGACGTAACAATTAGAATTTTTCAGTTGCTCATACACTTGGTTCGCTCAGACATATATTCAAGCAAGTGTTTTCTGGCTGACGAAATAAATCTCAATCTCTCTCTCTCTACACAGCAAGTTCGCTCAGACAGATATTCACTCAATGAATGAGCAAGGCGAGGGAAACGTTGAAAATAATTAACGGCGTTTTGTTAGCTATGCGGCGTTTTGCTAACCATGAGGTGCAAGACATAGCGAAGCGCCGTTAACCCAGTGGTTGCCAATCTTTAACGCTTTCGCTGCCAAGCCATATTTGAAATTTGTTCGGAAGTTTGAGAGTCATGTTTTTAAATGGCTATATTTTTAAAACAGTTACAGCCACAAAAAAAGCCAAAATATGAAGTTTAGTTTTTTCAGAGCTATCTAATGATCAAATTATTTGTTTTCTGTAAGGCTCGATTCAAAGATGAACGTAAATATTTCCCCCCAAAAAATGGTACAAAAATTAAAGCGATTAATAGTGCTGTTTTCCGAAAAAAACAATAAAATATGTATGTATGAAAGTTAAGTAACCAGGATATTTACCTTTCCATACACAAAAAATCGCATGATGTTTGCATTTGAATTTTTTGAGCAACAAAGCGGTAAAGTTAGCAAAGTTTGTTACTTTTTTCGCCTGCGTTGCCGTTGGACGATGCTCTGATGCACCTATATTACGTCATGATGATAATCGTACGTTGTTGTGCAACTACAAGGTGATGCCGTGCGTATCGTCGATATCGCGGCGTCCAGCTGTACGTCGCGGTCAACGTTATTCGATGTGGCGCCAGTACTTATCATATCGCTTATGCAATTCTTTTTCATAATGCCGTCTTCCTGCGATTGAACAAATTTTTGGCCTGTATGTGGCATGATATGAAGTTAGTGGCGTTGTTATCCACAATTCACACAAACCCCTACGTTACAAAGGAAGTTCGTTCAAAAGTTCACAAAACGGTACTAGAAGCGTGAAAAGCCCTTGTGTATTGTAAATCACAAACGGGTGGAGTCGATCGTATGGACCAACGAATGAGAACTTATTTGTTCCCTCAAAGGGGACTAACATGGTATTCCGAATCTTCGATGTCTTGACAAGCATTTACATGGTAAATGCAAATATTCTGTATAATGGAAATGGAGTCTGGAAAGATGGAAGAGAATTTAAAGATTTCATCCACGATTTACACTATGCATTGACTTGTTAAAACTTCGCTCTGAAATAAGTTTGTCAAGCCCATGCCAACTGCTATTAAATGCTAACTCTACGAAAAAAATATCATGATTGTGTGCAATGTTCGGATTGAGAATCTCGACGAACAAGGACCAAAAAAAGAATCGTCATTTGCCGTTTAACATTTTTATTGCGATGTCGCAACTTTTTGTCCATGCACTTGGTTCTTTCTGCTGGCGTCGCCATAGTCGTGCGCTGCGTATCAACTTCAGTTACGTCGTCGACGAAGTCACCATGCTTCTTTTTTAATTGAATCTAGTGATGACAATTTTTCGCATAACGCCGTAACTGGTTCAAAATAAGCACAACAGTTTGAATGCTCGATTACTTAGAGATGGGTATTTTTATTAAGAGATATTCAAAATTGTGCCAAGTAATACTTTTTCAAATCTCGACTTTAAAGTAGAATCACAATTTTAATCAAGCTTTTTCTTTTCCATCGGGTTCATCATATTAATCGCTCTGCAGTTGATCGACGCCTCAAATGAAATGAATTTACGTTTTTTACGTTTCTGAATCTTGCGAGATTTGATGGAGAGCATTCGCTATGAATCGGTGCCGGAAAAGCAAATAGTGTGATTGCTCGGCGCCAAGATGTCGCGAAAGACGTCGCAAAATGATGGTGGAATGGAAATTGTGTAATAAACCAATCCAACGGTAAGGTCATCGAGACGGTATCAAAACAACGAAATTTCCTGCGGACCGGCAGCGCTCCGCGACCGACGGTTGGGAACCACGGATTTAATCGATGGCGTTTCACTATTAACCAGGAGCAATTTATCGTGTTTCAGACACTTGGGCGACACCTTGCGACGTTGCGACTTACGTCGTGGTTTCACTGTGTTAATTCCAACCTGACAAACACCCCCCGTTGAAAACGGCCTGGTTGCGCCCCTGAATAAATTCCCTACCCATAGGCTTCAGTCTCTTCACACAACTTGATGTAGAGTAGGTGAACAAAGTTACGGTAGTTACCTCCATAATGGTACACAGTACACATACTTCTGAAGCGCCGAATATGTGTATATTGAACTGCAAGCCCTTTTTCCTCGTCCTTCTTTATTCTTATTTTTTGTCTGTATGTGGCCATTGCAACCATGATGCTTGCATGAGGTAGTAACTAGTGATATAAGAATCTCTACAAAATGACAACAGCATAATTTGCTGTTTGATTAGGTTACATCTTGATTTGTGTGAAGAAGTTCGACTACGACCTAACAAAAGATAACAAATATACTTTCTATTTCGTGGAATGATATTATTTTATTCTTAATATGTTTATATTTCAGAACATAAAACTACTAAAGTCTATTTAACATTAATTATTTTTTTCTAATGTCACAACTTTTGTTTAGTCTAGTTAATTGAGAAAATTTACTGTATTTGATATTGAATTTTAATGTTTTGTTTATATAGGGAACAGCTAGGATATGTTGTACATTGCAGTGTAACAAGAAGTAACAGTACTCAAGGCATTAGGTTCATCGTACAATCTGAAAAATCACCCAATTATTTGGAAGCAAGAATAGAAGCATTTATTAATCATGTAGAGGTGGGATTTTCTTGCAAACCGTACTCAATTTGGGATACTTTTCAACACCACGTGGAGGGAAAATAATTGGCCAACAAACTGTATACAGTCAAGAGTCTTGCTGCACACTAACACAAAACGTTACAGAAATACATTTGTGTTAGTGTGCAGCAAGACTCTTGAATTGCACAATATGGTAAATTAATTCCTGCTACAGCATCCTTGGCATTATACACATACGGATCCACTAGCGCAAAGGCATTGAGGTAGGATTGGGAGTTCGCCCAACCTCTACTGATAGGTAAACTCTCTTGTCAATGACACATTTAATTTTTATTTGCTTATGTCCTCTAGAACAAAAAACCTTCTTTTGCATAATTAATTATTTGTGTATGATGCTTTATGATATCACCTCAACTATTCAACAAATTTTGCATTGTTGGATGCTTCCACAAGGTCATATTTTTGAATGAATGGGAATTTACTCAGCTTGAGCCAAAAATGAATTGATGTGGTTCAACTCTGGCTAAGGCCTAAATTAGGGTACTCCTGTAGTATGAGTACCATTTTATTCCGATTTTCCTTATTTTAGTTTTAATCACAAGTTCAGGGACTGTGAATACATTCCCTGCCCATAGGCTTCCGTCCCTTTACACAACTTGACGGAAAGTAGGCGAACAAAACTAGTTACCTCCATATTGGTACACCTACTTCTTGGGCGCCTGAATGAGATATTGTATAAGTTAAGTTATGTGACAAGTTTACTGATACTTTATTGTTCCATAATTTCCCATAATGCATTTGAGAAGACACCTAGGTTGAAAAACTGTAGCCGCAGAAAATAGGTAATGTTCTTGGGATTAGGATTTCTGTTTGGTTTTTCTTTCAGACTATGTTCAGTGAAATGGATGAATCGGAATTTAATAGACATAAAGCAGCATTAAAAGCAAGAAGATTGGAGAAACCTAAGAAATTGAAAGCACAAACTTTGAAATATTGGGGAGAAATATTATCTCAGCAGTACATGTTTGAAAGAGGTATGTTCATAGAGATTCACAATCAGGAGATCAGCTGACAGTGACATGTTTCGGAAATTCGGTTAAAATATCATTGGTTGCTGAAATATAATTTACTGTTCATTAGGTATTCCTGTAGTATTCGAACCAAGATGGATACCGACACGTTGTATGTGTACCAGGTTGGGGTTATGCCATAATTCCAGGTACAAATACTACGAGAGTCACTTGGTCCCCGAACTCGTAATAGAACTAAAATAAGGAAAATTGGAATAAAATTATGGCCCAACCTGGTACTTATACTACGTTCTGGTGTCTGCAATCTTGGTTCGAATACTACAGTAGTACCATTTATCGTGCCATAAAATTTTTTTATTTGGAATAAAAGTCGAATTACTTTAAAAAGTGAATGATTAATTAAAGGGAATACAAGTCAAACACAAAATAATTTTTTACACAAACTATCTATCCTAGCAATAGCAAGTATAATTGGTAGTTTTGATTAGATCACAATCGGTTATCCCGTAGTATATGTACCAGGTTAGGGTAAGGCCATATTTTTATTCCGATTTTCCTTATTTTAGTTCTATTACGAGTTCGGGGACTGTCTGTGTTAGTCAAGTGAATATACCCCCTGCCCATATGTTTCAGTCCCTTTATACAACTTGATGTAAAGTAGGCGAACAAAATCAGTTACCTCCAAATTGGTACATGTACTTCTGGAGCGCCTCATACTCTTAACTTCTTACAATAAAACTTAATCTATTTAAACTATTCGGAAGGATTTACAATAATATGAAAATAATGAAGTTATCATTTTTCCCCAGATCAAATTGAGATGAGTTATCTGGATAATGTTAAAAAGGAAGACGTGGTAACTTTTTACAAAGATTTCTTACATATTAATGGAGGGAAAAGGGCCAAACTTTCTACATATATCATAGGAAAATCCAATGTTGAATGTGAGTATAACAACTACTCTTTATCAATTATATGTTGTATTAAGCTGTCTTGTATGCAAATAGATTCCAAAGTAATGTGGTCTGAAATTCTTATATCTGAGACTAATAATCTTACTTTGTAATTGTCAAAAATTTGTTGCATAAGGGATCAACTTTCCTCTCAAAATCTAAAAATATAAACTTCATTTACACTTAAATCTGGTTTTTGAGATTTTTGAATAACGTCTTCATGTGCTGAAGTCTTTAATTGTTTATTTTCATTGTGGAACCACTTACAAGTACACTTTGTTCTATTGAGAGTAAATCTAGTATTACCTCTGTTGCAATAAATCTTTTATCTCCAGTCCAATGTCGGCCGTTTATATCCATAGTACTAGAATAGACACCTCATAAGCCTGCAAAATAAGCCTAATAATGCAATCATATGCATGCATATGCAATAAATATATATATATATATATAGTACAGAATATTCTTACCCAACATTGTAACATTGCCATTTCTGGATTTCTTGTATGCCATGAACAATTCTTGATTCTAAACTCTATTTATCCAGGTCCTGTGGTAATTAATGTTGAAGAACACAATAAAGCAATTGATGATTGCTTGCTGAAATGTCCGCAACTCCCTGCGGTGAGTATTTGGTCTAAAAATGGAATAGTTTTTCTAGCTAGCAAAATTTCGTTTCAGTCAAATTTAATTAGAAAATTAAATAATTATAATATTATAGTTCTGCTGCAGTGGATACCCATTAATAATAATTTTTTATCTTCGTTTTTGTAATTTTCAGTCACACATAATAGAAGATGTGTCACGTTTCAAGCAGAAGATGTCACTGTATCCCAGATGTGAACCATACATTGATCTTGCTGGAGCAACCTTATAAAATTATCATTCTTTTGTTACTTGATTGTACCATGAATCCATGTTATGCATATGGAAGATATTAAATCTCCACTTAAGTGTCTGCGGCATATTGCCCAGGGGATCAAAGACGATTTATAGTTATAATTACCTAATAGAGGGAGGTTATGTATTAATTGGATAAGCATATGTTGACCAATTTTCATCACAGATAGTCCTTCAACCAGATGCCATCAAAATATTTAGTGTTGTTCGCTTGTATGTTCTTTATATGAAGTCGCTGTGTTTGATGGGTGGACAACTCTTAAGTGCACTATATTTTTATTTGTGTGTTTAAAACTTGACATATTATGTCATGGTAAATTCTGTGCGAGCTCATTTATTATAACAATGAGAACCTGGACATGTTTTTGTTGAAAATTAAATGTGGAATATATATACAAATAATAGCTTTCGAGTATTCAAGTCTTTCCAAGTAATTATCCAAAGTTTTACAGGCATTGTGCAGTGTCCAACTCTCGGTGTTTATTGATGCGTTTTCCAATTTATTGAAAACTGTCTTTCAACCTTGTAAAAGATTGTGATCCGGATTAAATCGAACAAGAGAGCAATGTTCAGTTAATGAGAAAATTTTTTCATTGATAGAAGAAAAAAAGAAATACTAACATGAACAACCACAACATTGACAAAACAATCCATAAGTTTTTTTTGTGTCCAACCCCTACTCCGCATGTTCGTACCCCAGTACAATAAATGTAATTTAGTGGAACAAGTCCCAACTGACCCCTCGTATGTCAATAAACACGCAATAGATTGTAATGCCAAAATGTTCGTATATTGCACAATGGAATTGAAATGATCCAAATACCAGATAACGAAATACACTTAAACAAAACCTTAACGCAAGTATACGTGATGAACCAAACCAAACGAACAACACGAACTATAAATAATAAGAGGTAAACCAAATTTCTACCTAACTAAAATCTATAAAACAAAGACAATCAATACTTACGCAAGGGCATCTCCCCCACCTCCCCGCGAGTAGAAATTCGGGATTCTGACCTGTTTTTAGCCATTTATCAGCCAACCTAGCTAAACTAATTTAGGTATTTTTGCTGCCTAATTTTATTACATCATCATTAATTTTTGAAATATGACATGATAATTATGAACAAATATATCAATCGAATAATTTTGAATGTGTAAAATAAGAATTTATATTTGCACAATATTCTGCGCAGGCAGCTCAATGTATCGGTTTGATAGGATAAGTAAACATTTATTCCACCATCTTGCTGTTTTCTAATTGGACACCTAGTTTGCGAACGTCGGTGCACAATGCACCCGAATCAATTAATACATCTGGATCATAAACATCAAATTCTTATTATCTGAAATATCTCCTTTTCAAACTGAAATAATGTGCAATGTGAATAATACTCCCAGACTAATGTTTTATTCCGTCTACCCGGCACACTTACTATTGGAATATCGACTTTTTAAATATATATAAGGCGTTTTTGTCGGTATCGGTGATATTGGTACATCTCTATATCTAATCCCATACCCTGCATGTTGTCATCGAGTTCCATACAGAGAAGAACTTGGTATAAATTTCCTCACAGAATATAACCCAGCGCCCCCGACAGCTTGCTGATTGTGAACCCATCGTCAACCCATGTGGGCCAATCATCTGATTGACAACCGCAATACTCGATCTGCTAGCCACATGGCCATTCGGTGAAGTTAAGCGGCTTATCCAGGAACTTAATTTGAATGAAAATGAACAATTCCACTCAGTTAGGGCCTTTGAGAAATAAAGCTAAATTACTGACGCAATTTTCAAGCAAAATTACTTTTAAACTCGCAACACTTCGCCAGCCAAAAACTAAATCTCTCACGATCAATTACAAAAAACGCCCATGTAGATGTGTAATTGATTCGATCACAGGTGTGACACAATCAGCAACGTAATGAGAATGCTTGGAACAGTGAAAAACAGTACTCAGCTATTGCAGTTCACAGGTGAAATATGATGAACATATCATGCATATATAATCATAAACAGAAATGTACATCAAATCTTAAATGATTTTGAAAATCAAATCAACCAATCAAAATTGCGGTTTCTTAGATGAAAAACATGAATCTTGATCTAATGACAGACCAACATTGTTTCCCCAGAAAATACCTCAAGATAAGAAAGTTGATGTTTGCCATCACTTTTTGACAATGTGGCTTGGCTTCATTTGAGCGAAATAAATCTGCCATGTGATGCCCATATATACAATTATTTTTGGGCAACACCTCAATACCGAATAAAATATTAACAATGAAATTTTTTGAAAAAAAAAAATTACTTTTAGGTTTTTGTTGAAAAACCGACAACCCAAGAAAATTTTTAGACGACCCAGTTTCGGGTCACGACAGGGAGGTTGGGAAACACCGACTTAGACCATTTTAAAGTGAAATGAAATATTTTGGTTAATTAAGTGATAATTCAGTGAAAACTGTTAACTATTCGAATCTGCCGTATATACCAGTATGCTCCATTTAAATCAAAATTTCTATCCAACAGTAATTCTGAAACAAAAGTATTACACTAAAAATGGCAAAATCCGAAACTATTAAAATGGAATAATTTTAGGAACTCTAAATCAAACCTAACCAAAATCAAAAAATCACTGGAGTGGAAATGTGGGATAATCAAAAATGTAGCCTACATGTTACAGCAAATAAGCAGTTCCCACAATACATTGCAACTGAAATTTAGATGAATTCATCAAGAAATACGAGTGAATGAAATAATGATTCTGAATATGAAAACAACTAAAGATTTATAGAAAATACCCTTGTTCAGACAAACAAGAAAACATATTAAACTCCCAGATTACAACCGAGTAGCTTTCAAAGAGTTGTTTGAAATTTTGTAAACAAATAGAAATCATTAAATGTTTGTATGAAGGCAAGAAGTGCAAATAATTTTGAACTTGTGCATAAGGAAAAGCACACACCTCATCCTATATCAACCTCTAATTTTATTTTTCCAATGTTAAAGTACAGTCCGATTGAGACGGACAAATTTTTATATTCCAAAATCGTAAAAACAGACAGTCCCTTGTGCATATCTTGTAATGCCAGGCAAATATCCTGTGAATGGCCATTGTGTAGGCCTTGAATAAAACAAAAGGAAGGTGCGAATACATTAACAACACCAATACATATGAGCAGCACAACATCAATAAATAATTGATAGTTTGATACAGAACATATAAAGTGGCTTGAAGAATAACACTAAAAATTTCAGTTTCACAACATATAACACTTCACACTGTACAGATGATCTCTATTGACTGCTTATCCTCGATCCTAAAATCTCACTAATATGCATAGAGAGGAGACAAGTTTTGGCTCAATCACGCGTGTTAAATTCCAAAAGTCAAGATCACCTTGTTTCAGTCGAACAAGCTATTGTCAAAAGCAATCACACTTACAGATACAAAATAACAGTGAAATATAATTGAAACTTTGTGTTGCAAGTATCAGTGTATGGACCACAATATGATTCCTTCAGTAAGATATCTAAATGAAAATTTATCATCCGATTTAAAATGTGTATTGCAGTTTGGTTTGACTGAAATAAGGTGGAATCATGACAATTGGCTAGATGTAAGAGCAGTCACAGTGATTGAACTTATTTATATTTTTCAGTCTCAACTTTTGTATCATCTTCATCCATTGCTGTCTGCTCTTCTTCATCTTGAGATTCTTCAGCCTGTGACTCTTCATCCTGGGAGTCCTGTTCAACATTTCTTTTTCTCACATTTTTATCTGTATCATCTTGATACTCTGGAATCATCTCACTTTCTTCCTCTTCTTTGTCATCTTCACCAGAATCGTTTTCGGAGTCTGTATGGTAATCTCCAGCTTCGGAATCTTCCATTGTACAAAGACAATAACATAAAAAAGTGATCACAAATGTTGGTATGCCAATAACAAGACTAGCGACAATCGGACTTTCTTTAAAGAAATTTATGACTATATTTGTTGTGTCAGACACAAAACGTTTTATTTGCTGGAAAACGCCAGATCCACCTTGTGAAGCAATTTCTCCTTCAATAACTTTGCTCAAGAACCTAGTGATGTCCGATTTTACAATTTTGGTTTCATCAGAGTCACTACGCATGGTGAAATACTCGTATGTACTTGGATCAAAAACTATAAAATTCGGAGTTGGGATCGAACTATAAGTTATCTTATTTATGATGCTATCTCCCAATACCCAGCAAAATATAAATTTAGGGTGGAATAATGGGTTTCGTGATGTAGCTATATCTTTTGCAATAGTGTCCAAATATTTGTAATCCTTTTCAGCAAGAACAGCAATAGCAAATTGTTTATGTGTACCTTTGAGGGAATGGTAAGAGCTACCTGTTAGCTCATTGTAATCGGGTAGCTGCTCAGACAACATCCAATGCGTAAGATGTGCCTTTTTTATGCTTTGAGATGACAGGGGCATTCTAAAATAAGTGTCATCTTTAAAAACCAGAACCGTTGGTGTTTCTTTCACATCTGGCATGATGTCAGGTGATGCTGCAAACATATTCAGTGTCAAGAATAATTTATCTGCTACAGAACCATAGATTTCACGAAGGTCTGAGTCTTCATTTCCGACATAAAGAAAAAATACTGAATGCAGTTCACGAGTTTTTGTGAGTTCAAGAGAGTTTGTTAAAGATGTAAGTTTCGGACCTCTTGCCTTGAGAGTAAACGCAATTATGTCACTTTTTGTCCTAGCACCACGATATTCATATTCGTTGTCCCCAGATATAAACTTGATTGTAGGGAATCCCCGAACACCAAAATCACTCGACAGGGATGAATACTTTGTGCAATCCAACCTTGCTACATGCACAGGCATTGTATTTTTCATAGCTTCGCCAACTTCCATCCAAGTTGGTTCGAGATGTTTACAATGACCACACCATGGTGCATAAAACATTACCAACCATTCACCCTGTTTTTTCGCCTCACGAAATCTGTCGTCTAACTCCAAAACGACTGAATTTGCCAATCTGGCATAGAACACAATAACGAATATGCTTAAAGACTTAAAATTCATTTTTTTCTAAGATATCCTGCTAAAAAAATACAAAAGAGACATCAGTCTAGACCAGCTGTTCCGAAACTGTGGGTTGCAAAAGAAATCTTAGTGGGTCGTGAAAAGATGTGGAAAGCTTTGATTAATTATACTGGTTATTAGGATCGGTGGAGAATCGAATACGTAAATTCAAATTTGAAGATTCAATATTTTTAAAATCAGTGTTCAACTGAAATATTTCAGATATTTTAACAAAAACTTTCACAAAAGGATAGGATAGGATTTACATATTTATCCCGGGGGAGAGGAAAGGCGATAAGACGGCTTATTCATATGGCGAACCACGGCCTCTCGTCCGGTTACCATTCCAAGTCGGGTATGGGATTAGTTTTACTGTATTGTTTGTTTTCGGAAGCATGGACGCACAGAAAAACTATTTCCTTTCTTGAATCTAAATCTGGAAATAATATTGATTCTCGAATATATTCCATATTGGGCCATGGATCGAAGGAAACCATAATATTACACGAAATATAACGCATCTCTAGGTCTCTAAGCACTTATTGTATCAAACACTGTCGAATTGTGACCTGTAGCGCATGTCCCATTGAACCCCAGTCCATGTTTCGCCATAGGGAACAAATCTTTTCAGACCATCCAGAATTACCGATACCGGTAATTCTCAACTCATTAATATCAAAATATGGCAATGGGCCATCCTATTCCACATACCAAGCTACACAATCGATTCTTTCGATTGCATCACTAGGATAATCGATGCTACCATCAATAGACGAGATCTGAAGCTCCTTTGCTTTGCCTCTATGGACCTTTCCCCGACCTTTAACCCCCGAAAAATTCTTCCCATACTTTACCATTGCAAAATTTTCGGGGCTATTTTAAGAATGCTTTTGCGAGTTGGCGCCTGTAAAACGGGGTATGTGTTTCGAACCATTATTATGATTCTTCGCATACAACAATCTGTTTTTTAAAACTACCGGTAAAGAATTTTAGCCTAGTCTATCACAGCTATTTCTACACTATTTTTTTATTACTGTAATTAAATTAAAACTCCTTGGAAGACAGAGTGATCATTGAATTATCTAATTTATATTTAAGTTTCCGAAACACAACAGAAAACTAACGAATAGAATTCAAAAACGCGAAAGCGAGGTAATGTTTATGACCACGCTTGAAAATCTGTCTGAGGTGAGGAAAGTGTCTGAGCGGATGCGAAAAGGGAGCATTGTACGTCACTTTTTGCTTCTTGCTGATTGACCAATGTCACGAAGTGACCAAGGAAGTCGATACTCGGGGAAAGGTCCATACGCTCCGATTTACGCTATTTGCCACGTTCACCAACGCTTGTTACATAACAATGTCGATAGAACGTGTCGTGCTTTGAAGAAATACTGTAAAAGCATTACATCAAAATTTTGCTTTAAATCAAAGTGCTTCTGGGCCGAAGTTGATGTTGTCTCGCGGTCCCCCTAAAATCGCTTCGCGGTCCGCCATTCTCCAGACTGAACCATCTTCACACCCCACCTTTCAAAGCTTTTCATCTGAATTCGTTTACACTTACAGCCTTGCATGTACTTCCAGCTTCATAACTAGTTTAAATAAGCAAATGCGCTATTCTATTACATATTAATCACGATTCTTTTGTGTATTTTGTGATGTGATACTGGAGTTCATTCCAGTATTTCATGGACAGCTAATATAGGCAAAGAAGTGTAAATAAAAGCTTTTATTAAATGCTGTGTGCGCGGGGAATGTCAACCGTCACATAACAAAATATATCAAAATCACTAATGAGCATGTGTATTATTTATACTACTTTATTATCCGGTTAATGGTCACAATAACATCCGGATATCAGATAGCAAAATACCTGTCGTTAACCGGTTATCCGGATCAATCCAGAATACAGAGGCATTAAACCACAGTTTTGCAGGTAGGCCTACATACTTTCCTCTCCGCACTATCAAAATTGCGTGTGAATGTGCTTTGACAGTGTCAAAAATTTTCCAGTCTGCCTTTAGTTTTCCCACGTTCCAAGGACTCCCACAATAAAGTTTTCAAATATACTTTGTCTATAAAAGATTCTCTGAAAACGTCCTAAAAAGAACAAGGTATAATCTGTATAATATTTTTTGTTTATCGTTTAAGCAAGGTAACAATACTTAAACTGATCGAGAGTTGATCTCAAAATCCTTTCGTATTTTTACTTCCTGGCCTGCTGTTTTGAAAAACGCCTCACATATCGTCGTCTGATGAACACCTAAATACGTCTTATACGTCGGCACTCTATTGCCCTAATTTAAATTTTTGAGTATTAAAAGATAGAAGAAGTCGCTAGCAAGCTATTGCTCACATTTTTTCAACTTTTTTGAATATTATAAGACCCGATAAATCACTAAATTTTGCTAGTTTTATTTCGATTGAAGTGAACTATAGTGACTATTAAAACTGGCAAAGAAAACATAGTGTCTAACCTAGGTCGAATAAATGATAAACTAAATTGATAAACATCAACTTCAAAGCTGGAGAGTGGGTATAAATCACAATTTGGTGTGTTTTTACAATTATTCTTAATACTCCTAGTATCGTAATTAAAGAAAAAGAATAAGGACCCCGATATGGATTAAACGTTTTCCGTTTGTGGTAAGTCGAAATAATGGGCTGTTATACCTTGTAGTACATTAGGTATCCACTCCTTACTAATCTGTATCAAAATGACAGGTCAAGTCGGGTTATCTTCAAGTTTTGTTACACTTCTCAGTTGAAGGTCGCAACCCACCAAACGGTATCGCCAAAACCAGTTATCTTTAACTGACGAGCTGGTTTGTATTAGTTAATCCATATATGTTGTATGTCTACAAGTGACCGAAAATCGACGAAATGACTAGGTGCATGAAAAAATCGGATCGCAGAAAAAAATAAATACAAGGGAGAAAAAATAAGAGAGAAGAACTATCGTTTGCACCATGGCACGGAATGGTAAAAATTGCAAAAAAATAAATAAATAAACTGCCCGTGGCACGGAAAGTGTTAAAATATATAGCAAAACGATGACGTTTTATGCAACCCTGCGATAAGTCAATTTTGAGCTCAAGGGTCGGGAAACAGCCATCGGTAAATGCACCCAGGCATGACTCTTGCTTCAAAAGTTGTTGTTTTTTCCCGGGGCTGTTCGCGTTTCGTTTTGTTCTGCTCGCTGTTGAATTTGAAGCGTTAGCCCGACTGAGTAGCTTTCAACTTTGGATATGAACATGCCTCAAACTGTGAGCGCAAACAAGGTATTATTTATTGATGTTTTATCCTGCGTGGGCTGGCAGGTTCGAATCCCGGGCGGGGTTAATTATGCGCGAGGAAGCGAAAGGATTGCTGGACTCCTCGCCGCCGTAGGGTGGTGGTTCACGTAAGCGCTGGTCGGTTACGGCACGGCTTCCTCCCCCGTCAAGTCCATACATTTGAAAACAAATAACTGAATGACGAAACTGAACAAACCATAGGCCTATAACAGTATGATGAGATTCAAAGCCTGTACCGTACCGTATTCTATGTGGTCAAGAAAATCATCTAGAGTTGAAAATGGATACCGGTACCTAATATTCCTTCACAATTATTTTCTCATTTGCTAGTTTCTGAATTATGTCATCGTCTATTACAGTATTAACCTATAATTTGTAATTTGCATGCCCAGTACTGTATATTGCCCATTACTGCCATTATAGAAAGTAGGCCACCAGTTTCCACTTCCACTGTTCTAATTTGTAATTTGTTGAATTTCCATTGTAGGTCAGCCAGGTTTTTGCTGCTGCTGGCCAGGCCTTCAATCGTCTTGGAGAGCTAACAATGCAGTTACACACTCAATATGAAGCAGTCCCAGGGTAATAAATTCATTTTTTGAGATTTTCTATTTTCTAATCAATTATTTACAAATTATTTTTTTTAATTTTTGCAGTTCAAAATGGACAGAAGAAGAAGTGGAGATGCTGCGACAAGCTGTACAACAATTTGGAAATGACCTTGAAAAAGTTAGCTCTGTTATCAAAACCAGAACTATGTAGGATATATATTAAATGGAAATATTTGCATATTCCTTTTTAGTATAAATACGTTTCTGAAATGCCTATGTTATGCCATACAAAATTTGGCACTCCAGAAGTATGTGTACCAATAAGGAGGTAACGAATTTTGTTCGCCTACTTTGCATCAAGTTGTGTAGAGAGACTAAAACCTATGGGCAGGGGACTTGCCTAAAACAGACAGTCCCCGAACTCGTAGTCGTAATATACCTGAAATAAGGAGGATCGGAATAAAATTATGGCCCAACCCTAACTTGATACATACCCTACGGGAACAACTAGTAAAATGTTATATTGAATATATTACAGTTGGAAAGCAAAATGAAATTTTAACAGTTGTTGCCATGTCTTATAACTTGATGGCTTGAGACAAGGCATTCATTTCATATTGAAAAACACATATGTTTTGTGTTATAGGAGCCAAGTCAAACATGCTATAAAACGAAAAGTATTTAATGAAGCAGGAGTGCCAATTGCTCCAAAGCATCCGGCAAAGAATCCAGTATCTACCGGTAACAAGCGTCCTGCACCTGATACTCCAAAAAAAATACCAAATAAAGAAAAGGTAAAAGGCAATTTGTGATTCGTAAATTGTATAAGCAAAAAACCATTACTATGAATTAATATGATTATTTTTTATCATTACGTTTTCAATTTCATATTTGTAATCGTTGTTATTTGTTCTGTTCTTTTTTTTTCACAGATTACTCTTATTGAGACTCCAGCATCCACCGTGATACCAAGCAAAAAGCAAAAGCTCTCCTCACCAGTGGAAACTCTTAATGACAATCTTTCGAATCCACCTATTGAAGTGCCAGAAGCCATAATTACAGAACAAGTTGTAACAGACTCTGTGGTTGAAGTTGATGTAGAAAATCTAGACGAGTCCTCATCATCACTCAAGAAACTAGACCAATTTATCAGTTCACAGCCCAAGATACCAGGCGACATGTCAGAGTCGGCTGTCAGCAACCCTCCACCATTACCTCCATTGGATCTTGAGCAGACATGAGTGAGTTTGGACGTCAGGGTTGAAAGATGTAAGAGCTAATATCCTAGAAACACAAAGCTGTTTTCATATGTTGTTGGTCTTCTCCTTCAACTTTTGTAGTACACTAGAATGGAATAAGTCTAAAGGGGACTGGTCAATCAAATGAGACAGTCGGCCGTCCCAATCAAGCTGCTTCTCATTAATATTGACTATCATATCCAACCTTGCCTTTTCACTGGACTATAGGCGGAGGACAGCTTTAAGATGGTAAATCTTTTGTGGATCAGGGTTTTTATTGCGTAGTGTAAATTAAAGATAAAAGATAACAAAAATTATTGGGGGGGGATTTGAAGTTACAATCGTGGTGTTTTCAAAACCACTGGTGACTCTGGGCCAGATGAGGTTTGCATAATGGCCATTGGCAATGCAAAACTTATCTGTTTCTATTCTCCAAATATTTGAATGTTATTTTGTATTAGTGTTGTTAAATTTATTCCTTTAGTAAATGTGTTTGTGGACTATGTCCAGTTGTATGCCTGTTCTTTCCTCATGCTTCGAAATTCCATGCTGGTTGTGGTGTTGTGGGAAATTCATTTGAATTTACTTAAAATATTAGCAATTCTTCACCAGGATTGCGAAAATATTTAGGTCTGTCTGTCACGATAGTGTGATAGGCAGATTCATAGAACGTTTTTTTTTCATCAACAGTGATCAAACATGAATTCATTTAAATTGGTACCAGAATACACCAATGATATTACCATGTCAAGCAATGGGAATAGAAAGAAAGATGTTTTTAAAGAGCCAGGAGAAGAACCACAATAGTGCAAAAAATATGACTCTCTTTTATGGAAAACGATGTTTACAAAATTTCAGGGTCATTTATAGATATTTTTTTTTTTTAGTTTTACGGATCAGAATTTTCCCAAATTCGGATCAGTGTCTTCCGCCACCCCGGCTTCCGTATCTGCTCTGCATTACGTGGCACAAACTTCGGCCCTGAGCTTCTGTACATACTATGTGCCAAATAGCATGACATTCGCCCAGGGCTTCGTCAATGCCATGCATAGCACAGCTCAACTTCCGCCGACGCGGCTTCCGTACACACTGTGTGAAAACGTGTAACACGCACACAGCATGACATCCACCGTGAAGCTTCCGATTCATCATTTCCCATTTTTTTTTTGCTTCGGTTTCATGGCAGAAGATATCCGTTAAGTATTTCCTTCCAGTTATTTTGTATGCCGAGAAATTGTATATCTGTGAACCTTTTTTCCATTACGAGAAGAAATTCCGGCTTCGGTTTCATGGCAGAAGATATCCGTTAAGTATTTCCTTCCAGTTATTTTGTATGCCGAGAAATTGTATATCTGTGAACCTTTTTTTCCATTACGAGAAGAAATTCCGAAAATTTGGTTATGGCGGCTTCTGTAATATTTCCGTCTGTGGGAGCGATGTACCGACTTTCTATATCTAGAGAGATGTATAATTGCCTGTTTGAGTAGCACGAAACATTTTGTAACCGCAATCTCGTTTGGCCCATTGAAACTATTAAGGAATATTTGTTCTCTAGAGATTGTGGTGGTCCCGCATAGAATTTCATTTAGGAATTCTATTAAACTTGCAACCTATGCCGCTATGATCTTGCAATGCAGAAATATGTGCTTAGTATTGTCACACGGATCTCTACAAAATTTACAGTTCATAATTTTTATGATCCCGAATGGGCCGTGCCTAAGGCTCATGCCTCGCCATTCGATCGCCGAAAATATAGCCGTCCTTTACTATACGGTAAGATATTATCCTTTCAGCGTTCGTATATTTGGGCCGATTCCTGAGCAGATTAACCTCCTCCCAATTGATATTTTCGTGGGGTTGGTTGTGGTGTCTGCTTTTAAGTTTCGAGTATAGATCCTTGTGCTTTGCATCCTCCCATTGCTCCGGTGATAGGTGTTTATTGGTATTTATAGGTAATAGGTCATTTATGCATTGCCCGCGCAGGGCTTGCATATGCGCAAAATTTAAATCCACAATCCTTTATAGACTCTTCAAATTTACAATATTTTTGACAGCACTGTTCCTATTTACAAGATTGTTATTGTGAGAGATCCTTTAGTTAGGGAATAATGAGTGACGTTTATTGCGTCATTATTCTATTGACTTCGGTGAAACTACAGCTGCATTAGAAGCCATTTTAGGTACGCTTGGAGTTGGAGACGGAATAATAACTTTCATTTGGTTTTGTTTGAGTCATATTATGCTGAAAGTAATCTAGAACTTGAGATTCTGTAGCGTAATGCAATATCAAAGCTTATAAATATGGAATAAAAATTTGCCAAGCTCAGGCCTTCGGTCTTTTGTCCAGTTATTTTATTTATAGTTTCGAGTTTGTCCCGGATTATGCCCAAGAAATTATGGTAAGTCTCATCACGAGCACGATTGGCTGTGTTTAGATTTATTTCAGTGACGGTATGATTTCCAAAGACAACCGGGAAATATTACGTACCGTAGGCACACAAAATTAGGAGATTTACAATGTCTGAAATGGCTTTTCAATCTGTTGCGGCCCTCTTAAAAGAAAGCTTATGGTGTTTTCTGTTTCAATTTTCTATATAATAACGCTTTTCAATGTGGAAAATTTGGCTTCCAGATTAACTCTTTTATTTATCGTTAACATCTCATACACCATGGATGGCGAACCACTGACTCGCGGGTCACAAAGTGACCCACCGCGTTTTGTTCGTGACCCGCCAAGACACGAATAAAATTTTTCGCAACGTCTTGTCTCTTTTGCAAGTGCGTCTGCAGCCTGTTTCAGGTGTTATACGAGAATAAGATGCTACTTTGCATTTAATTTTAGTTTCTTGCCTACAATGCCGTTGAGAAAACAAAATCTTTCAGACTTAAAATAAAAAAAACTAGAAATCTGAAATGACAATGGGGCAGTGTAAAAGTGCCTTAATGTGGTTGAAAGCTGATCGAAAATATAACACTACCAGAGTGAAACTCTTTGGAACCGTAATGTAATTTGCCGCATCATTTTAAACGATTTTGGTAATTCATATCCGTGTTTTCGTACTCTAATTTCATAAAATCGAGTGCCTTAAAAAGTCCCTGATAGAAGTGCTGCATAAGTAAAGCCCAAAACTACCGTAACTCTAACAGAAACTTATAGGATTTGATTCAGAAGTTTTTTAAATATATACAAACATTGATTGAATATCTTTGACCCACTCTCTTCTGTTCAGTGATAAAAATATAATTTTTGACCCATCCATTGAAAAAGGTTCACCATCCCTGTCATAGACAATGATTATATAACAGGAGTGGGCACGGTTTTTGGATCAGGGGCCAAAAATTTTGCCCATCTGGAGTAGCTAGACTGACAGGCCATGTAAGTATGACGTAAAGAGTCACATTCTATGAACAATGCTTACAGTGTTACAAGAGCAGCAGTGGAAAACAATAAACCTCGTGTCAAGACTAAATTTAACCGCAATCTCAACATATTCCTTGAGCTATTTTAAGGATCCACAATTACATTCCAGGAATTATCATAACTCCGACTTGACAGTGTTTACAGCCTAAACAGTTTGAATATATATACTGTGACTCTGGAGCCGGAGCCATCAGGAACCAGCCCTGGCTGTGAGGCAACCTTGAGGTTTTAAACCACATTCCATTCGTAATCTACTAACATAATGTAACTTAGTTAAAGTAAAGTAAAAGCCTGGAAGTTAGTATACATAAATGAACATAAAGACAGGACGTGTTTGAATTTCACTAGGTGTTAGATTTGTGACAGAAAAAATTCTATTGCGAAGCTTTGCTAAACATTATTATTCGCCTCGAACAACCTCAATTTGGCGCAGCGGCATGTGGTAGGGGAAGGTGGGGCACGTTGGGACATGGGGCACAGTGGAAAATCAGCTCTCACACTGATACTATATTCGGAATCCGGTTCGCGGTTTGATGTTTCAATCCGCCCTTCGGTGAGTTACAACGTCCCCGCAAACGGACAGCGGACGGGTAGAGCGACGCAAGCTATGAGGTGAAATTGGTTTTGGGGAGTTGAAACTAAAATTTCACCGTTCCAGTTTTTTCTTTTTTCTAACTTAGCCTTTTCAACGTGACAAACCACCGTCTGATATCTTTAAGCTATAGTCCACTGTGAAATATTTATAACGTTGGCGAGTGGATGTGCCTTCCAAATTTCGCCGTGAGATGATCTGAAGATATTTGTTGATTATGGGAAACAATGGACCGGAGTTCAGTGGGACATGCTCTACATGGCACAATTCGACAGTGTTTGATACAACAAGTGCTTAGAGACCTATAGATGCGTTATATTTTTATGTAACATAATGGTATCTTTCGACTCATGGTCCAATATGAAATATATTCGAGAATCAAAAATATTTCCAGATTTAGATTCGAATTAGAAAATGATTTAATTTGTAATGGAATTTTTTGGTGGAATATCTGAAATATTTCGGTTGAACATTGATTTTATTGAGGTCTCCCTGTTCTTTAGACGATTATGCTGATTGATTGCTTATTTTTAAGGGCATACTTCCTTGAATTTTAACAGAATGACCCATTGTGCCCCAGGGTCTGTCCGAATGTGCCCCACAAGTGGGGTACATTGGGACACTTGACAAACGTTTTTCAAAGCATTTTAGTGGTAAGATGTGTGTCGCAAGGGAATTTCTTAGTCGCTGAATAAAATATACATTTACCCCTCTCTGCAATAATCCCGCAAAGTCATATGAATGTGCAGAATAAAGAGCTCAGAATATGAAAAAGAAAAAAAGTGTCCCAACCTTCCCCACTTTCCCCCATATCGTCAGACTAATAAAAAAATTGCCTAAGTCAAATTTTAACATTTTGAGTAAATCAAAAAAAACTTCATAACTTTTCCATTTTTCAATCTATTTCAAAATTTTTTTTATCTAGATTTATCTTATCAAATTTTTAATTATTTTAGGATATCTATAACTTCCAAATTCTATTTTATATGCGCTAAAATTGACTTAGGCATTTTTTTATTCACGCACCCTGAGTTAGGCAATATTATTCACATCTTCGCCCTATATTTTCTCTGTACATTCGCTTGACCTATATACTTTGTAAACGTCCATTCGGCAAATAATGAGAGAGTGACTTCCATTAAATTAATATGACACGAAAGCCAAGTCAAAATTCGATATTCCTCCTTAATCATAATTTGGCTTTGATGAACATTAGAATAGATGTCAGCCCACAGGCCAGATGTATTGTATTCAATTGATACAAGGAATGTAAAATTTCACAACTCAAGCAACAAACAATATAATAGAATCAAAACATAAATAACTCTTTTGAACTTAAAACATCAACATAAACAAACAACTGTAATCATGAATTTATAGTAGTATACTTCATTAAGTTTGTATAATCTACTCGTGAGGAAGGTTGTTCATAAAAAGGATGACAGTCAATTGGCATAATTGATTTCATTTCTTGAAGATCATTAATTTCCTTGCACAAACTGGAATACGAGATCTGAACATTGGCACCCATTGACTTTGAACATTCTGTACACGGTGTGGTAGCGCTTTCCAAATTGCTTTCTCAAACGAAAGCTTGTAACGAATACTACCATCACTTTCGTACTTCAGGGCACGCAAATCATGCACTCTGGATCTCCTACTCTTTTTCCGGGTCTAATGCCTTTGAAGGAACAATTGATTCATTCTTTTGAAATCAGTGTGCCTCATTTGGCGAACATGATAGGATGATGGATGGATTCTTGCGGATTCCATAAGTACGATCAAATCTCTTTCAGAAAAAATGTCGTCTACGATCTTTCGTTCAATGACGCTGTGCATCGAGTCACATTCCATTTGTGTATGTCCAGCCACCAAAAATTTTTGCTCTATATCTATGTTGTAAGTTCTTGCCAGACTAGAATATGCATTGGCTACCGTGCTATTCCTATTTTGGTAACCACATCCATCGCTCCACAAACTATGATATGCTTCAGCTCGGGATTATTACAAATGATTCGCTTAAAATGCTCAAACTGCAAGTAAGCAAATACTTCACTAGAAAGATTGCCTTCAGTTTCATTCCAGACGTAGCAGTAACCTGCTTTTGATTTCGTATCATATAAAGTGAAATTGTGTACCTGTAGCTTAGTTCTGTAATATGAGGGACTAGCTCTCGTTCTAGGACGTAAAAGCACGGCCTGTAGATCCATCGTCCAAACGGATTTATTTGCACTTGCAGAATCTTTGTCGGTTATTATTTCTTTTCTAGCATCATCCTTCAGTTTGATATGCAAGCTATACTCAACTGTACTCATGTTACCATGTTTGTAACCTACACACTTATCACACTGATCCTTTCGGGGAATGAAAACTGAGTATTTATATCTGTGGAAAATCTCGTTGAAATAAGCTTCACTAACGACCCTCCTGTTTTCTCCCTCTGCAACATTTTGGTAATGTCTGTGGAGGGCAGATATTGTGGTGCCTGGATACAAAAATTTTATGTTTCTGTAACTTGGCAATTTTCTGCAATAATGGGAGTCTACAGTTGGTAGTGTGCTGAGCCACTCTTTTATAAACGCTCTATCCCTTTCACTTACTTTTGCACACTTTCCACTTTTCGGACCTGCTTGAACAACAGCTGTTTGGTTAGAAGAGGTTTTATCTTTAATCCAAGATATCAAAGTTCTGCAAGGCATCCCAAACGTGGAAGCAAACATTTCTTTGCAGACTGGCAGCTCAGAACCATTCGAAAGCTTTAGTTTGTAAACATATGAAGATTTTCTCCTAGATACACCGGATGATCTTTGTTGTTTAACCTCATGTGTCCCAACCAGAGTATTTATGAATATTTTGCGTTCATTCCAAGTCGTCATAGACCAAAATTTAATGAACATAGCAAGTCTTTGATCTTCATCTACAACGTTACACTGGCGAATTTTGACTTTGCTACAGAATGCAGATCTACATGGTGGCCCTGGTTGACGATTGGGCACATTCTTTTCTTTCCAGTTTCTATATGTTTTTCCAAGAAGGCGCCTGATTTTTCCTTTATTTTGTTTCCATTTATCGTGCACTGGTCTCTTTTCTCGGTTAGGTGAGGGCTCGTCATAGGTTTCAATAGTGCCATCTGATCTTGTAGAGCCTTCATTGGTATTGTTCTAAATACTCGTCGTGAACAGATTATCGAGACTTACATCAATATCCAGTATTTCGTGGAACGGTAAATAGCCACTTTCACTATATAAATATGCATCGGAATCCCCCTCGAAACCATCGAGCTG